CTCTACCGTAGATAATTCCTCTGTTTCTCATCTTTTTTCATCTCCGGCTAAGGTTCCATTCAAACGTGACTGGTTTTATTACCGAGTGGGGAGAGAGATAGCTGCAGAAACACGATTCAGGATGCTCCGTTCCGTTGAAACACGCGGAATCGAAAACTCGAGTTTCGAAGGGTACCTGAGTTGGCTTACTTGGCAAAATGCAGTCAAATTCAGCGATATATTTAGTGGTAATCCGTGGACCATTACTGGTCACTGGATCATTGAATATGTCATTTTTAATTATTGAAGGTCGTCCAGAACGTAGGTTTTAGTCTGGATTATAGTCATTCTTCTGAAATCGACTAACTGAACCTATGGACTGTCCTCAGAATAGGGACATGTTAAAGATGAAACATTTAAGTAATTTTTGTTTGATTTACAACACTCACTCCTTTAGTGAACTCACACAACATAACCTGACGAAGATATAACTTTTTATTTTCAATTGTAGAATTTTGTTCCTAAATAAAACGTATTTAACTAAATAACTCTTATGGCTAACTCACAACAGTAAGAAAACATCAGAGCAGTCAAAAGTGATGCTAAGCAGTTGTTTGCTATTATCTGACTGACTGTAAAATGATTGTTTAAACGCAGAGTTACTTAAATCATAATGTCAAATTTCGCGCTTTTAAAAAAAGCACCTAGACATTTGATCGAGTTGAGATAAAAGATGTCGCATTTTGAGGTTCTGACAAACCACTTTTAATAAAAATAAACAAAGGGTGTTGTGGAAGTTCATTCAGCCCAGATTATTGATAATTTCGATGTCCATGTAATGCCCCATCTGGTTTTGACATAATAACCTGAGCAAATGCCTTCTCTACACAAAAGAAACGCTTGGTGTTTGCATTCCACAGATTTTTGCTATTCATAATCCTTTTTTTCTCCGTATCCACGCGCCAAAAGTACGCTCACACAGATGCAACCACGCGCAACCAACTCATTGTGGTTGGGGGCATCGTGGTTATTGCACATTCTTGCGTTTCTCACCTGCCTTCGCACTAACTGAGTGGTTTTGTTTCATTCTCAACTTGATGACCTTGACAAATTCTATTTTCACTAAAAACTAAGACATTGAGGTTCTTCTGCAATCTGGCAATGTCCATTAGAACACAGGTCCCGTCTCGGGTTGGTGAATACCTGAGCACAAATTCTATTGGTCCAGCTTTATGACGGCAGCGGGTTAAAAGACTGGTTGAGCAGTCGTGTCCATTTCACCCATCCTCTGGACTACAACGAGAGAACTTGGAAAATTCTGCAGTCTTGGCACGAGTATTACTGCAGAAAAAGGTCCATTTGACCTTATCAAGGTCACTATTCCCGCGTTATGCATTGCACCCTTCCTGTTTACCTAGCAGCTAGGCCACTAAACTCACATTTTAATTGAAAATTAGTTTCCAGCACTCTGAAATGGGTTAAGGATCCACAATTCAGTCTGGCCGAAAATTTATTTATGCGGAGATTTGCTGGTTCAAGTATTCTGAAAATCTCGCATTACCTTCTGGTGCCTTTTTACAGGCTGCGCTAAAGTCAGTAATACCTAGTATGTTAGCCAATGAAATTCCTTTAACACCAGGCTAATTGATTTGGTAGGGGATAGGAGGTGATTTCTGACAGTTTGTTGCACACAAACTTGAAAACAGGCTCTAATGATAGCCAGACTTGTCCCTTGAATTTGCAGGAGAATCAAACGAAACTAATTATTTAAAGGTATAATTAAGAGTCTGGTCAAACCCTTATGTTGTCACTGTATGTGGGGGAAAATTTGTTCAACAAGTTGTTCGCTTAAAACCTTCGAAGCGTTTTCGTGTCTAGGTGAATGTTTCGATTCATTTTTGTCGCTCTAAAATCTGCACAATGGCAATTTCGCAGCTACTTAATTACCATATTATTGAATAAAAAACATTAACACGTGAATGCAACTTACAACCGGTAATTAACACTTTGTGGCTAATCAGGTTAGGATATCGATTTTAGCCTTTCAACGAACTTCAAGATAATGGAAGTCCAATCAAAAAAAGAATAGGCTCCCAGTAGCAGTAACAACCAATCCCAGTACAAAAATAGATGGGTTTCGGAAAAATTTGATCCAATGAGGTGAATTCAAGGCGCCATTAATGCTAAGACAACTTCCTGCTCTACATAGAATGTAAGTAGTATAAGTCGCAACTTGACATCCGCTAGCATTAGGTACAGTTAAGAAAGCCGAATTTAGGAAAGTGAGCCTAAATATTTATATTTTAAATAATAATATGATTTTTGAGAAGCTTAAACCTTAATATATAAATTTACGCAAATAAATAATTTGATATACAGATTATAAATCTTGAAATAACTGAACTGAATTTAACGAAAGATCGAACGAATAATGAGGTCCAAAGATAGTTGGTATTTGTAGATTTCAGCAGTATAGAAATTTCATCTTCCAACAAATGAGTGTTTCTTAAAACTCATCCCAACTTTGACCTTTTGAGGCCAATTAAAAGTGTGAACAGACAGTGCAAGGTTGACCTGCCAGACAACCTCAGTTTGCTTTGGACATAAGATTCACAATAAGACGCCTTCTGTGCAATCAACAACTGGAATTCGCGTTTTCGTGAGCAGCCCAGCACTGAACTGGCCCTGAACTTTATCCACATAATCCACGCTACTTACTGAAACATCTTCATTCAATGGAATTTCAGTTGTAAAATTAAGTTTAACTGCTGTGTTAAATCGTGTAACTCACTATCGACTTTTACTTGGAACTATTATCAAGACAGGAGCTTACTTCACTGGTATTGTTCTAGTGACATCATCAGGTGATGATACGCGACCCCAATTTCTTGGCGGTCATTTGCTAACACCTCAAATTCAACCAGATCCAGGCGTTCCTTAACTGTTAGAAATCGCCAACACCAATTCTCACTTACAAACTATATAATTGCGATCTTCCGGAGTTCAGTTTGATTGTGGTAAGCCATCTTTACATTTCAGCACGCACACATATTGATCGTGATCTTTACAATCAAACGACTGCTAGATCCTACTATGTAATCCAATTTTTCTCGTTGGCAGATCAAGTACAAAATGACCGAGCAAGGAACAGCAATCGCTATTAAAACATTTCGTTTAATTGTCATGGTATGCACATTTATGTAAAATCACACTTGACGGCCCCTTTTGTAGAAATCGATCATCATGGACAGTGCGAGCCCATTGGATATTTGTGCATAGATCGAGACGACATCAGTTGTTCCATAAATCTTGATTATTAATTGAGATGACCTGAAGCACTCATAAGTTTTAAATCGTTTCTCTGCTGCTGCTGCTACTACTACTACTGTATGGTAACATCGATGAGCATCTTCACAGAAGGCACACAGTCACTCTTTTATACCCCTCGTTTAACTTGGTTTCTAAATTATTACATTCACCCACAAAACTAACACAGGCCTGCATTACACCTGGCCACATTTCACAAAAGCTCGCGATGACCGCTGTCCTGATGGTGGAAATAAACTTGTTAACGCGAAAAAAATTATTGCTTGTAGTCCTGTGTTGCCAGTGGAATTCGCTCCACCAAAATGCTTGATTTTCAGCTAATCAAGTAACGCGAAAGACGCTGTTTTTGACTTCCTTTTGTGCACCTCCTTCGTTGCAAAGTGGTGCTTTAAGAGCTTCAGACGTTGATGGTACGAAGAGAAGGATGTCTTGCTACTGCTTGCCTGTTTTCATTGTCACCGCTTTTGTGGTCAACAATGTCTATAATCTTTGTTAAAAAATGCATGATTTTCATTACTGTTTCTAGGTACAAGTTTGTTAAATTCACTTGCAAAAAACTCTACTAATACTGAAGAGATTTTGCTGATTGCTGTCTTAAAATGTCAATTTGCATGCACCTTTATATCTACAACAAAATCAGTGAAGAAACCGACAAAAAACTCATAAATGTCAAGCAAACTTTCTTGTTTTTAATGTAGGAAACTCACATAGAGTGCGATAGGGAATAATAAGTGGCTTGTGTAAATGTTCTGTCGTTTCGACGGAACTATGTATGACACATTGGTGCGACCTTACTCGATGGTTTTCGAAGATTCCGCTATTTGGTGTTACAATGTTACACAAAGTTACGCTTGAAAACATGCGTAGTAAAAACCCGCAGCACGATAATTTCTGCCAGATTCTTTGAACTCTGATTCAAAACGACGTTTCAAGAGTCTTGAATTATTTGCAGAGACTACGACCAGACCTAAAGAGGGGTGCTTTTACTCTCGTAGACCAGCGAGATATGATAGGGACGTCTTCGGTCACAAACGGGATGAGTACATGGTCAGAAGGGAGTAATTGAGATGAGGGTTAGTCTATTCGATAGAAAGTAGGCGTGCAAGGCCATAAAAGCATATCGGTAATGTGCGAATGGCATATTAAGCTTTGCCGTCCGCATCCGATTAGATGATCTAAAGATGTGAATACGTGTCACTGTTCTCCGAATCCGTCTATACAAAACAGAGTACAGAGGGTCCTGATTAGATTATGGCCTCTTATTTCACGACACCACGGAAAGTTGGAATTTGAGAAGGGCTGATGTACTCTGAATGTAGGGAGGAGATTTAGATTCCGGGGTTTCATAAAGTGCACAGCTCTGGCTAGTCAGTTCAAATAAATTTACATAATAAAAAAATTCCGACGATAATAAAGATAATTTTGTGCTAGAGCACGATCCAGTTCATTCAATCTTAAAATCTACAGAAGGTCCTTAGACGGTCCAAATGGCTTTACACAGGCGAAATTAGGCTTTCATGAATATTTGGATCTATGAAGAAATTCAGACGAATTTTCCCGCTATCGAAGGCACATCAAAACATACTCCAATCCAATAGAGATTAACAGAGATTCGCTAAACGAATATTTATTTAAAAAAGGGGAAAGTACATGTGACATTAGATAGGGAAATGAAAAAGTCAGAGCAGAGAGGCTTATTCAGCGTCCTCGCTTCCTTGGTCACCATCACCACCATCAGGTAGCCCAGAACCATGAACGACACTCTCCGCCTGCCCAATGAGACCAGTCGTGGCACCCAACAGATTAATCGGGGTTCTGCCGTCCGTGATCAATGTGCTCCTCAGGTTGAGGGCCCTCAACATGCGCACATCTCGCTCGGGTCCTGCACAGGCTATCTTGCTCAGGTTGTCGGCGCCAATTGCCTGTACGCGTTTCAAGTAGAACTCTGTCTCCAGCTCGAATAGTTGGCGCTTCCGCTGCAGTTCCAGCTCATTCTTCTTCTCGACGTACTCCAACTCCAGTTCTCTAGCTACTCGAAGACGCTTCGTCTCAGCTTCCTACAAGGCAATTTAACTGCATGAAATTCCAGATTAGATTTAATGCGCAAGACTGAGTAACCATACACTTACCGTTCGAATTGCATCTGCCTCCGCCTCCAAACGCGCCTTTTCCACTTCCGCTTGACTAGCAATCCGCATCGCCTCGGCTTTACTTTGCGCTTCAGCTTTAGCCTGTCCAGCACTCTCCAACGCCGCCAACTCAACCTGCAACTCCAAAAGACTCTTCCTCGCCTCCTCGGCCGAGGCCTCGTCCACTATCTTCTGGCGCTCCAGTCTCCCACGTGCCTCCTGCTCCAGGCGCTCAGCCTCGTGCCTACAAATACACATCGCTTTTACACCTTGCCAAATCACCTAGTTAAACTACCCACAACACAAACACTCACCGAGCAGCCGCCTCCTGTGAATTACTTGTTATCTCAATCGCCAGCTGAACCGACTTCATCAAGGCATCGCGTGTTCGCTGGTCCACTGGCTCTACCGACTGCACATCCACGCTTGTCACCACCAGGTTATTTTGTGGGAATACAAACCTCTCGCACACCTTCCCATCGGCATCCCGGCCAAAAACTGACTCGCGTATAAGACGTGCGGAGTTCTTAACGCAAAACAACACACATGCAACACTGTGCATATTTGGCAAATTTAAGCAAAACCCTACGCTTTTTCAACAACCTACCTTGTGGAATGCGTCAAAGTTCACAGAGGCCACAGCGCCTCTCACGCGAGCTGCAATGGCTTTGCAGAAGTCGCCAACAAAGTCAGGCAACGCAAACAGTTTCACTGACTCCTCCTGGGTTCGTTCTGGTGAGATCTCAAAATGCCAGTTGTAACACAGCTGAATAGAAAGACGAGCGTGGTCTGCAGTTTCCACGATTAGCACATCAGAGCAAAAGTCGGGTCCGAGTAGGAGACATATGGAGCGAATCATGTTCGGCCTCTTAGGCTTGCCTCCGCTGAGACTCAACACGGTGAATTCTTCGTCAGGTTCAAGCATCACAAGCTCTGGACCGAATGCAATACGAGCACGTTTTCGTTTATAGTCATATACTTGGACAGCAGCATTGTGAGGCACCCTGTAGGTTACAACCCGCGTGGGGTCTAACTGAACCTCCTTTCCTTCTGCTTGTCGTTTCCCAGTAACTGACCTATCCGCAAGAGGGTCCTTTGCGGAACGCAACAACTGCTCAACTGCAGCAGGCAGTTTCTTCTGCCAGAGTTCTTCGTTTTGAGTAAGCATGTATGTCGAACCGACTACAGCCCGAACCTTGCCCGAGATGCGATCACGAACGTATATACCCTCATTGTCACTCAGAGGTATCGCCTTCCGGACAGTGAGAACTTCCACTTCAATTGGAGGCACGTATTCAAGGGGACCAATTAGCATCCACTCCTCGCCTGCAACTCGATTCTATTTAAAATTGGAAATCGGCATTTAGAAATAGAAACAGTCAAAGAGATTTAATACGGAAGCACACTACCTGAACTCCATCTACAAATGACTCCTTTGCCCGAAGAATAATGCCTTCCTCTTCGCTTAGAACGTAGACATTTTCAATGCCTCCAAGAAGGCTCTCACCAGGAAGTAAAAAGAATGTTCTTTCCCCACGAACGAGCAGCTTTCTACCGATGCGTGGAACACCGTCTTCATCTACTGGATCACATACAATACAGTATTGTGAAGAGTTGAGCACAATTGGTTTAGCGACCTTTATAACCTCTTCATAGACACTTGGGATGTGGCTTTCGGTATCCGAGTGCGTGATGAGCCATTCTTCACCATGTCGCCGACGCTTTCCGAATTCGTCTATGTGAGTTCTTAACGCGCGGACATGCAATGCATGCTTAGAAACAAACGAAAATTTAACCAACGTTATCGTGGTAGATTGATGTCAGCACAAGTTAGTCAAGTGCTGAAATTATGAAATGTCGTTTTTAAACGCAAAAACTAAAGGCAGTTCACGATAAACATATAGTAGTTAAATTTGTCACATACCATTTCATCTAGAGGGTATGCGTTTATGACTCTAACAAATTCTTCATACGGTCCAAGCATGTAGGCACCAGGTTCTTTCACGAGCCACTCTTCTCCGTACACACGTTGTTTGCCATTTCTGTCAATGAAGTCTTCCATAGCACGAATTAAAATAGCTGTGTTCTGACGAACGACTTCAGCTGACCGTGTGGCCAACACCTTTACTTCTTTCCTGGGCTTGTATACGCCTTTAACGTATAAAAATCAATAAAACGTAAGAAGTAGTTAGATTAGGTGTAAAGCACTTCTACTTACCAGGTCCTTCGAAAAGCCAATTATCTCCAGGGACCCTGTCAATTCCATATTCATCCTGAAATCTAACGAGCGCTGTTAGAAGCAGGGCCCTGTTCGGAGGCAAGACAGTCAGTGTGGTCACACCTTTTTTCAGTTCTTCACCGGGGTACAATGGGAAAGGAGGCTGAGCAAAACGATATTCTTCTTCACCGTAATCCAGCATAGCCTGTCCGTACTCCTCAATAATAAGGCCATTTTCATCCCTTTTCACGGGGTGCAAAATAATGCAGTACTCCTTAGTTGTCACCACTATCATCTTTGCAGGCATTAGTGTAACACTATTGCGAAAAATGTCAGCTAAGTAACATTTACCCCTCATGATCTTTACGAATAAACGTCGCCGGTCCGGTTACGAGTCTAGTGACATTCGTATTTTTGTCAAGGACATGAATATAATGAAAGGGTGGAATGGGTACAACCACATCACTGGAACTTTCAGACGAACTCATCGCAAATAAACCAACATATGCGGACTGAGCATTTCATTATCAATTTATAAAACGCGCACAACCAATTGACACCCAGAACGGGCTCCCCGGCCTTGGCAGTTGACAAATTCAATCTGACTCTATTATCAGCATTTTAGTCAATTGATCTGGCAAATAGTACTGCGAATTGCCAAAAGTTTAGCAAAAAATATCTGAATGTTTTACTTAGCAATAATTATTAATAAATAATTAGTTAAATTTAGTCAGTGATTCAAAAATTGGGCCATACGATATTCCAGCAGTCAACATCATTTATAGCCCTAGATTACCATTGCGCAAGTTCGACTAGTCTTAATGCACCTAAAATAATACCAATATTTTTATTAAACCATGTAATGTTAACTTTGGTCTAGTTTCACAGACAATAATAACGATAAGTTGTTTCTTGTTCTTCCATGGAGCCCCCAGAGAAGCGATGGCTAAGTAACCTGATCAGCTTGAAATCTAAGAACTTATGTGATCTGGATTATTCGATCGAGATTAGTATGCTGTAAAAGATGCGTATTTTTTCCACATTTTTTAAACCGTAAACAGTAATTAAAAGCAAATATCTATTTCTGATTTAGCTATTATAAATTTAACACTGGCAAATAAATATAATTAAAATGATAATTCTCATTCTGAATGCCTCGGAATTCCACATTTTATTGTAACGTGCTGATTTGCTTCTACCAGCAGTCTCCACTTAATTGGCTGCCATGTCTCCAAAATTTTGACCGCCCCGATCACTTCTGCAAACAAATTTGGTCATATACGTATTTTTACCTACCATTCACCCACTTCACGCCATGCCTACTACCATAATCGTAATTGTTGTCGAAATGTTCTCATGTCGAATCTCATAGCACTTGAAACCTAAATAAATTTCGAAGCGTCAGCAATTTTAAAACTGATCTGCTCACAATAAAGCACTGGAGCAACGAACTTCGTTAAATGTGATTCCGGGCAGTCGTGATACAGCATTTTCACAGACTAACTCAAACTCTACACGTCGGTTTAGGTTAATGCGCTCGTGCAGAATAAAGTGTTTTAAAAGTACTTTTCCTTTACGTCCTGTGTGATAACAACTTCAGACATACATCTGGTTAGTATTTTTGGAATTTTCGCCAAATACCTTTAGCGGTTAAAATACATTGGACTAAAGATTCAGTAGATCTTGCCTAAGAATCACGGACGATTTGCAGGACTATGCCCAACGTTGAATAATTCATCCACTAATGACTAAGGCAATAGGAAACTGAGTTATTAATATTCGGTTTATTTTTCATAGATGTAGGAAAACACTTGCGAATTGCAAAATGCTCAATAATTTTAAGAATCATGTCACTTTTCTCCGATGTTACAAAACTAAAATTAATTTAATAACAGTGATGTGTTTTAAAAAGATTCTGGAAATCTCAGAGAAAAAAATTTGCAATCACTTCACAATCTGCCGACGCAAGGACTTGTTTCTAATTGGAATAGTACACTCAACTCGATTTCACACTAATCGTTTGCCTTACTCGTCACCATCGCTAGTTAATTGTCTATTAACATTAGGCCTATTGTGTTTTTGAAAGCTTTTTTGTCGACTTCGTTAGAGCCAGTCATAACAGTCTTCAATTTAAACCTATACCACAAATTAAAGTATGCATTTTCAATTATTTGTATAACTACAAAAAGGCTCTTCTAGTTTTGAATACAATTTGGGTGATCATGAGAGGTCAAATCCACCTTACTTAACGGGTAACTATTTTACGTATGGCTAATTTATCGAAAAAAATGACCAATAATCTAAACAAAATTCAACTACCTACATAAATTATGGACCATAGATATGAAACAGGTTTGTAAACGTGATTATTAATTCACGTCCATTTGAGCCTGCAATTTACAATGCTTTGTCATCCTGTTCGTTTCCAACCTACTTTTCATTTCCATATTTTGAATAAATTATCGGTACTTGACACCTCACGCGTATTTGTACGTTCTTGTAGTCAGTAATGATTAGGTTGGGTGAAATGATTTTACCATTCAGGAATTTCATTAGCACGGTGTGTGGTGATCATAAATTGAGCGCCCACAGTCATTTTGCATAGTTGTTGCATACAACAACATCTGATTATATAAACTCAACTTCGTAAAGAAGCAATTTACCTGCGTAGATCTTGCTTTCAATGGTAGGACAACCCCAAAACAGGCACAGAGACCAAAGCAACCCGATAATCCTCAACAAAAACAGACTGGGCATCGTTTTAGCAACAGTTCGAGTCGATCAATCACGTACGCAATTCAACCGTAGGAAAATTGTTTTGAAAAAAATCACTAACTCTTTAAGGAGCACGTACCAAAAAACAAGATTTAAGCCTGTAAAACGACATCAAGTCATTTTGGTGCTCATATTTGCTTCAATAAATGATGTATAAATTACACGATGAATGAAAGACATAACAGTGCTAACTGGACTAGACGAAGAACTTTACGCCCTCTCCACCGTTCATTATTTCGGCCTTTCCATGCTTCTCCATGTAGCGAAGGGCCTCGAGGATGACGGCCTGGTCGATGCCGTGGAACGCCTCTCCCTCGGTGTCATCACCATCAACGATCTCGTAGACGGTGCACACGGTGTTCCCTCTGCCGGTGGCACGCACCCACTTCTCAATTTCCTGAGCCCATCCACTCGGCTTGCGCCAGATTATGTTGGCGTTATTATGGGCTCTAAGTGGTAGGAAGAAATGAGCAGAATTCTCGAAGATTACTTAATTAGAAACGACATATCCCCCCCCCCAGTTTGCGTAACTAAACGTTCGCAATAACATGATCGACTCAGGATCAGAACGCTGATCGGCATCGCCGAACGCCAGCTGCTATACCATTGCGTTTACCCGACTGGAACTTTCACACAACTCTACTTTAGCGCAAAACAGGAATCAGTGCATGACTTTAAGGAAAAGATTAGAAACGGCAGTCAACGGAGCGAGTGCATTCCACACAGAATGTGGAATTCGATGGCAGAGAACACTGGATGGCAAGTTTAATAGGATAGTCTGTGAGTGTGAAAGAGGCCGCGATCAGGTGTCTCACATACCGAGCTAGATGCGATACTTATGACAATACATGTCAGTATCTGAAACGTAGGAGTGAATGGGTCTCAGCATGTGTAGCACAAAGTACACGCCAATCGAAAAACTAAATTCGGTTAAAATGAGCCTAAATTAACACAAATTATCAAATGCTGTTCTGACACGAGAATCAAACACGAATCACCAGTAGATTACATTAACATGAAACCAACGCAATCACAGTGCGATTCCCAGTGGACAAATGTTCAAGTCCAGAATTTAAAAAATACCACTCAATACTAGTTTTAACATTGAATTCAAGAAAGTAGTATAAATTAATATGGGTTACCTTACCTATCAGTCCATTCTAAATTACCGCGACCGTGCAACTCGTCAAAAATGGCTTTAATGAGCTGGGAGTTTGCTCGCCGATTGATTTTTGGGTTGGAAAATAGTTCGCATTTGGAGTTCATCATGGAAGAAACATCAACTGAGGTTTGTTTCTTGCTCTGAAAATAATCTAGCACCAACTGGCACCAAGCGTCCATCTGCTTGTGTCGTGTCTCCTCATTAGGTTGGAGCGTGAAAAAGGGTGGGAAATTAAACTGCCAGGGCCACGAAAATTCGCTTTTCGCCTCTGGCATTGTCTGGCTGGAATGAAAAAATATGTAGTTTGCCAATTACTGAGGGCCACAAAGAGATAGGTTGCTGACGCCAATACTGTTTGTAGACGAACTACACAACCCCCCTCCCAATAAGCTAGTGTTCTTGATGATACACTTGAATTAATAACAAAATTATCGATTTCTTTTTTACACAAAAATGCAGCAATATAATAGCGACACAAATGAAGTTAATGAACCAGCATTAAAAAGAGAGGAACATGGACAGAAATTTAAATGAAAAATAACAAATTGCTTAAAGTATATTACCAATGCGCGGCAACATCAGTATTCATAGATAGATCATTGCAATTGAAAAAAAAACAGGAATCTATTGACCAAAGACGCACTTTAGCTCAATCTCCAGTCCTACTTGGGAAGTATAGAAGTAGTAATAAATTGAATTACTAAAAAAAGCATTCACCGATTTTTTTCAGCAACGCAGCAATGTAGTATAAGGAAATTCCAAGCTCAAAAATCGAAAATTGATTTTGAGGGAATAAATCAAACTTATCCAGAATAGTGACAAATTATTACAATACAGGATAAGATTCGGAGATGCACATTACTTTGACCATTGCTGTCATTTAAAGAGATTGTGGCATAAAGAATGTTAGCTAAATACATCTCAAATATCCCACAACTACCGATTACAAGCTTGTGGTTAACCGGAGCATCACACAAGAAGCGATTATGTGTTTATTAAACATAAGTCGTGGGAGACATGTGACAAATAATCTCAACACCTTAGCAGAGGCAACAGCTTATACTAAAACATGAATTAAAAAAACGAAAAAATTAGGCGCAAGGAAGATAAATGATGCGCTTTCAACCTACTCGACTAAAACGTCAGGAAATTTGTCACACATTTTTATAATAAATACAATTCATTACTAGCATAATAAAAATTTCAAATTAAATGACTTTTTAAATGAACATTTAGAACAAGCCATGTTCATTCTTATGCTTAGATATTCAGGGTGTTATAACTTATTCATAATGGGACTAACACAGTTTACATAGATTCTTTCGTATATTTCATCATCAGTAAACGCCAGTGTGCAAACTTCATTTGGTTAAAGATGTATGAAAGCCCAATAATCGTAGTATTTAATTACATAATATTTCATTATTATTGGCTTTATAACTTCTCGTGGACGCACCCCTCAAATTTAATAAAACATCGAAGAATTTTTAAACTTAGCCTTGGATCAAAAGTGATTTTCACTTATATAGGTATTTTTGGGTTCGTTTCAACTTTTTGGGTTTTGTTAATGGAATTATAGAGCTAATGCACGTTTAAAATTTTGCAAATCGGCGCCTTTCACCTGAAGTCATTGTGCAATATTTGCGTACGTTTCGTTCACAATATTTCACTGACATTTTTTGCACATTTAAATAGGTAAATAATCGTAATCAGCAAGCACAAATTTTTTTTTAAAATATTAAACTCCATGAAATCAAAATGGAGGGGGGTCCTGCATAAATGATAGAATTATAATAGTTCAAAGCTTACTTTTTCCAATATGTTAAAATAGCTCTGCACAGAAGACTGATAATTTATAAATTGTAATTTTAAAATTAGACTCACTCATTTCCAAAATATGCAGTATTCTTCCTTATCTATTCATAAATGATAGTTAGGAGCTGAGTTCCTTTACATGAATGTTGTTTGATATTTTACGTTGATGTCATTAGGATAGGATTTAAGTGAAGAAATGCCTACAGTGGGGGAAAATGTGAGATACCTATAGATTTAATCTGCATCTTAAAGTACAACGGGATGTGTGATTAATAAAAAAATCAAATCTACCACAATCCATTTAACTAGCTGAACAAAATTAATGGACTCAATTGTTTTTCGAAATAATGTTAAACATTCACACCTGCTTTGCATGATTTCTTTTTACAAATTCTGACTCCAGTCACGTTTCAATTATGTATTTCTTTTATAAGTCAATCTAAAATTCTTAATGCTCTTCCTTTAATAATATTACACCACACATTTGATGTGCAAATTTTTTCGTCTCAGTAATTTTTAGCAATGTTATGTGGAGAAGTATAAGGACATGACAATTTCGAATATACATGGTGGTTTTTAATGATTTACTTTATCAATAAATTAGCGAAGCAAAAATCAGCAGATGAATGTATAGAAAATCTATATTTTTAGGAGACAGGTAGTAATAAATTAATCAAATCACTAATTATTCCAGTGGAACAGAAGGTATGCGCATTAAATTTTTTATGATAAGCAGTGACATTCTGATAGTTAAAGCTTTATGTCTCAAATTAGATTTTTAATCCATCGGTTTGAATGATTTAAATCGGGATGCTGAATTCTTCAAGTGGATAAACATACTGTTGGCTATTTCCTGCCAATGATTTTTGTCTTAAGATTCGTAGTTCATAAGGACATTAATAACGAGCTAATGATATGTGATGCGGTCAAAAAATGTTCTAACGCATGAATTCGTTTGCAAAAATAAAACAAAAAAACTTTTTATGTCCCCTTATTTCACCAAATATGTGTAAATAATTTAAGGATTCTTGCACTGGAGCAATGTTTTCATCCCACTACATTAAATGTAACGGTCAATTTAAGGGTAAGTTGAACACTGTTTAAGCTGGGAAGTCTTTTTAAGATTTTACGCCATTAACATAAGCATCAGGACCAAAACATAGGCTACAACTTTCAGATTCAATTAGAACGCAAACTTGATTTTATATATAGCTGACAAGAATTGCGCTACGGATTTCTTAAAGTATATTTTCATACGACTTAGCAATTGGTACCAACTGAACATATGTGTGGGGTAGAACTGGAGCTTGAGATTTAAAAGAAATAAATTTTGTTCACAAACAGCTTGCATTACTTCAGATTTCACAGAAACAGACAAACCATACGAGAGAGGGGAAGGAGTCGGCAGTCCTGAAATCTATATTCTGATTTCGAACACAAGCCATATCGATGAAAACAATTAAAGAAGGCCAGTTAGACTAGGTATTATAAATTGAGAAGGTCTGCAATAAAAGTAATGGCGATCCGCGTGCTTGACATAGTTAGTGACTGCGTCACAAAAATACGCAAAACCTAAAAGCTCCTTAAAAATTGCATACGTAAAGTAGATAAATGCTAAAAACAAAATATATTATTTTGCCTTCCTAAAGTACACAAAAACATATTTACATACTATGAGCATTTGGTCTTATTTTTACTTTTTAGTCGCATGGTTTTGGATGTGTTACACATTGTTGTAATTTTTTTAAAGTAACTGAAGAAATGAACTGCCCATTAAATTCGCTTCAATTACGAATATTTTAGCAGTAAGTCAAAACGTTTTGTTCTGTCGTTAGCCTTCAGGGCTTTTGACCTGTATTGTCATTCGACGTAAGGTTTGCTGTGAAACATTTGAATCGGTACTTTCTTGCTACTGTTTGTTTTTAATGGCCAATTTTTGTTAGACAGTCAATAGATGGGAATAACACTTGATTAAATAATCCCTAATTCGTATGTCTTATAGTGAAAGCCGTAAACAGACTTGGTAGTCTGATACCTTTAACTTTTAATTAGTGTCCTTATTAGTTCTTCCATTGCAAATAGTCTTGTTCGAATTTAATTTGCCCTGTTTAATAAAAACCTCTAACAATCGGGGTATTAATCCAAAAATAGCTTATTTGCTAAATTCGAATGCATTTCAAATATAGCCCACGTTTTGTTTTGATCTTTATTTCCGAGCTCCTTAAAATTGTGCCAAAGATTCAGTATTCAAGTTATTAGGACCATTATAGCGATAAACAAGGTCCGATATCTTTTAAAAGTTACCGTGTCATTTGGCTTTAAACCGTTCTGCTGGTGAAATATTAAAGCGAATCATCTAATGGCTAAAAATATTAAACTATTCTGTCTGGTGTGGTGTCCGATACATGGTAGTGAAGGTAACTCGTGTGATGTCGCCTGTAGAGACTTGCGAACCATGAAGTAATTGTTGCTGTAACCGAATTAAAAGTAGAGTGGTGTTTACTTCAGTGCTTGGATTAGCCATACTGTTGGCTTAAAGCTTATTTCAAATCTTGTTATCTTATCAAGGTTATTAAATATAACTGGTATTACTGAAAATCCTGCTTTTATTATCCACCAATATACGCACTATCATTTCCTTCCATCATTTGACTCATTTAAGCCAACGTTTTGGGATTGATGATGGTGTCCTTAAAATGTCGCTTTGTTTAATAGTGTGCATCGACACCACCAATGTCTGTCTTCTTAATCGATACGTCAGGTCACTTCAGAATACAACCTCGATGTTGATGCCTTTGCTTTCGAAAGCAAAGTACCGTAATTCTATTCGTAGGTGATAAAGGTTTAAAACCATACTTATTATTGTTATGAATACCAACTAGTGGAGGGCGGGTATATATTTTATGTCACTGATTTTTTGGTCGAACACTGGCTAGTTATGTCCATACCATTGGTATACCTGCACTATCATCAAGTTTGTGGTCAAATTACTTGCGTATAGTTGGCAATGACCCGGAAGAAGTTTGTGCCACTCTTCACTGAAGGCGGTACTGAGAATCGCGTGTCAACGCTGTTACCAGGTCGCCATCCTTGTCAGTGTCTGGCTGTCCGACACCGCCTTATAGCCAACTGCATTTCTTGCGGCCGCATTGTCTGCGAGCAGGAGGGTTCGGGATCCTGCTACTTCTGCGGCAACCTAGTAGTATCTGCTGCGGAACGCAAATTGATTGACAGGGATTCCAATTCCGGTAGAAAGCTAAAGGCTCGTCTCCAATCCTCGCAATGGGCACCCGGTACTCCCACGCCTCCTTGGGTTCTGTCTCGTCCGTCTCGAAAAAAGAACAAAACCAACCACCATAATAAGCAAGTACTTACAGAGGATGAATGTCTTGTTGGAAACTCAGAGGTTTGGGCAGACGATCCCTGTGAAGATGAAGACGGGGAAGACCCTTTGCCTGACACCGACGCACAAACGCGGCTGGAAGAAGGTTTGTTGAAGACTCAGCGTACAAGCCAACATCTTTCGTTCCTCGTAGATGTCTTGCTCTACTTCCACCTTTGCAGGTCTCGTGCACGCCCTCCTTCAGCGCGATCGTTTGCTCCACTTTGATGCAACTACGGCAAAACGCACAAAGGTGATTGACGATGAGCTGGACTACTTTGTAAGCGAGGCGTCCGGTGTTGGGGCGGTGTGGCTAGACCCGGAAACGCGCAAGCGTGTTGCCGAACGAGTTGAGGCGCTACGGGCCCAGCGACAGGCCATGCGTTCCCAGTCCTTTGGATTTTGCATTGACTTCTCCAACATGACTGTCACTGAGGAGGTGAGTTTGATTCTCCTTTGTTAGGACTTGCAAAACCCGGACTTCATCGCTTTCATTATGTCACTGTTGAGTGCTCTTGAAAACGCATCCACACTGAAATTGCCCATGTTCTTTTATCTCCTGATTACCAGCCGATCATCAGCCGATCAGGGTTGGGTTGTCTTACGTCTGTCATCTTCCCCGCAGGCATATCCAGAACTCTCAATCATCCTTCACACCACCTCCCGCCCATCACCCTTTTAGTACCTTCTGTTACCCGACACTAACAGGTTGAGATCTCAAACAGACGTTGGCCTTCTTACGCATGTCTACGATTTATAATCATTCTGTTGTATTTCACAATCAACACAGTCCGGTCAACGCTCGAGCTCCCTTTTGTCTCAAGTCTTCTTATTCTCCTGGTAACCGACCTCGATTGTTTGTTCACACAAAACCTGGGATGGTAGGGCACTCGTGACTGGAACAGCATCCTCTTTTGGGTAGTCCATCTGCTTGTGCGTTGAGTTGAGTCACCCACAGAGTAAATTTGCTCTTTCGGCAATCCTACTCATGTCAGACCAATTGTAAAACTCACTACTGCCATGAACCGCGTTGCACCTTTTTAGGCTGTGCACCCTGAGGCTTCAGAGCAGTTCTTTGATGCAGAAGAGGACGTGTCATGTCAACAGGGGGGTGAAACCACCTCGGGTGGCATTTCGGACCCACTTCTGGACGTACCAACGCCTCAAGTGAGTTAAACCACTAGCTCCATTTCACACCTTCACTAGTCCGCTGGCTCACTTGTGGTGTAATTCACAATCACTACTGTTCCTTTAGTTCGTGGTGGAATCATTTGCGAAGAAAGTAGGTGGCAGTTCGGCGACAGGCGACGCCTCCACGAAGCCAAAGTCCAAGCAACACGGCTCGGGCTTGTCGCGCGTGCAGGACAACGAACAGCAAAGGATTCTTGACCGCGGTTTCTGCCTAAGCATGCACCAGCCCTGGGCGTCATTGCTTGTGCGCGGCGTGAAAATGTAGGTGTGGTTGTCGTGACCTGCGGCGTCTCGGTGACGCGTTTCTCATTTTTTTCGAACGCCCGCTGTGCTTTTCTTTTAGTCACGAAGGTCGCTCGTGGTACTCAGCTCACCGTGGCCCTCTGTGGATTGCAGCTGCCGCCAAAGTTCCCAATGAGGAGGAAGTGCGAGCGGTTGAAGAGGAGTATTTGGAAAGAGGTCAGTCTGCGATCGTGCCACTTTGTATCTTCAGCATTCCTCTTTGCTGTCACTCTTTGTGTACAGTGGTTTCGTTTCATTTTCAAGTCTTCACTACATCGCAAATCGCTTTTACAACTGTTAGTTGGAAAAAATGCCTACTTGTTCTGTTGAGCGTTGACACGTGTTTGATTGGTTCCCGCAATGTTACCGTCTAGAGGACATCACTCAATGTTAGGTTGCATTACAAAATTGGGCAATTTTAGTTGAAATGTCAATCGCACACACAGCTTTCCTACACCTTCGCAATTGTCGCTGTCAACTTGCCAGCATTGATCTTTCGCTATTACCCAAGATTATTAACTGCTGCGCTCTTTCGACCTGCTAAGATCGCTGATTTCTCTAGACGGGTTCAATTTGAGTCTATATTTCACGTTAAAATGGAACAGACTCGAAACAGTGGTCCCTTTTAAAATGAGGCTATATCTTACCATGCTAAAACTTGAGCCATTGGTGTGCGTATGTGACGAGTTCAGCTACTTCTAGAGTATCACATCCAGCACTGTACCTTTTCGCTTGTCATTGGTGACCCATCTGATCCTAAAAGTGTCTCATCTGTGACCCAGCATTCATGACGCCACTTCCGAATGCTTCTCTTCGACGTATGTCTGAATGATTTGACGTGCACAATATCTTAAAGCCCATGGCTGCTGCTTGGTTGCTCTCAAGTAATCGTGTGTCTTGGAAAAGCAAACAAAATCTGCGGATTTCGGGATTCTTTTCTTGTCGCCGATGGCTTTGCAAAAGTCACCCACATAAATGCCGCGTGTTTCCTTATCACAGGAGCCAGGAAAGCGGATTTGCCCACGTCTTACCCAGTCGGGGTCCTCGTGGGGTGTGTCAACGTGGACGATGTTCTACCCCAGAAGGAGTACAGAACCAAGGTACGATTCCCACCCCCCCCTCTTCTTCTGTGTCTTATCTGTTTGACTTGATCCGCTTTTTTCCGCCTTCATCGCTATGTTAGTTCCCCCAAGGCGAGTCAAATAGCCCGTACGTGTTCGTCTGCTCGGACCCCCGTGAACTCCTCATAAAGCTTCCGCTTTCGGGCCAGCATAAAATTTGTGAGTTTTTGTCGCATCCAACTATTCTATGCAATGCATAACACCAACGCATTCCGCAAAAAGATCGTTCTTGGCTTGCATTTTGCAAATCGTAGTAGCCTTTTATTGCGCACTTGCCTCTTCTCCAATATCTACATTTAGACAAACTTGATCCGCATATCCACGCGGCTGCAAAGGAGAATCTTACTTGACCACCCACCTGGCCATTGCCACAACAGGGGTTAGTCTTTCGAGTACATGTAGAACTATCTTTCCTCAATAAAACTTGATTTTATAAAAAATGTCTTGTTTGCATGGTTTCATGTATTGGGAAAAGACACTAGAACCCAGGGTGGATTGTTCAAGCAGATGTTATTTCGTAAGCAGGTAGATACAAGTACAAAAGAGCGTGTCAGTAGAAAAAGTCAGCACACCGTAACCCAATCGATAGCAGGGTTGGGCCTCGAAGGGGCGGCCTGTTGCGCTTCCAGCCCCATTGCGAGCGCAGAAGTAACAGAGGAGGAGGCGCAAAAGCGGGATCGTCGAATTCATCCACGGGGTACTCAAGTAGGTTGAGGAGCTTACCTGTTTTTAACTGCCACACGCCGATCTTCGGACAGCCAATCAGCGGCGAGGCTACTATCGTGCGTGATGGTACATCAACAACCGGTTTCGGAGGAACTGGGGAGGCAGAGGGAGTGACAAGGCCCGCATCTGAGCCGTGGTAGGTGACAGCAGGCTTCCGGGGCCACCGATCGTCCCACAGTTCGACTAAACCGTTTCTTCGGCCCACAAGCAGACCCGAGCGATCGCCTGATGGTGAGAGCAGAGCTTGCATGTGGGTCACGTCACACGCCGCCCCCGACGAGTCCCCAAACACGATGTGTTCGTCAACGCGACGTTGAGTCTGCAAAGAAAGGAGGCTGAATCGGTCGCCGGCGGCAACGTAGATAAGGGAAAAAGTGTAGGGGACGAAGTAGAGATGATCGGCCTTTGCCACAGCCGTAAAACGCGGGTTCTCGACACTACTAAATAGGGAGAGGCTCGCCCTGCGCACAAAGCCAGATGTGCCCAGTAGCAAACGAACACGACCATCGTAGACGAAGAGCTTGTTGTTTGTGAAGAAAAGTGGCGCCTCAGCGGCCGGCGGACCAGAGGGGGATTCGCCAGGACTAGAGGAATAATAAGGCAGTACTGATTGAGCGAATCGGGGATTCGCAAGTCGGCGTAGACGAATACTTTCAAATAACTCGTAGCCATTTTCTAAAGAGTTCGACAAAAAAGGCCTCATTTGTCACAGATTAAAACTTGAATGTTTTGCTTAATTCGAAAGCCAATAGTTGCAGCTACCTGTGGGATAATCATGCGCGGAGTGTTACTAAGACAACTATGCAAAACACTCAGTCTAACGTCAGGCACACTTAATCAAAATCGAGATTAAGACTACTGGTGCTAGATATCAGTTGCTAGCAAAAAACTTTCAGGGGACGTAAATTGAAAGCAACGGGTTCGGTACACTTTCAAATTGCCAATGTTTTGACACGGTTGCACAAAGACCGCAGATAAAAAGCACATGTATTTCAACACAAGTAGGCCGTTTTGAGGATTAAGCCTGGCTGTGAAGTGAAATATTTGGGTCAATCACGTGGGTTTAAATGAAAAGATGGTTTTGAAAGTAAACCATTTTGGCGAAACGGAGTAAAGGCAAAATGTATTTTGGAAGGGAACGAAACCACTATGCGAACGTTTCAAACAATGCCGTATTCGGTCAATTGGAGTAGGAAAATCAATTGCCACAGCAAAAAATTCACCGCCATGCTAAGCGTGGTTTGGAGTTCTATGCAGGGAGCTAGAGGAGTCATTGAAAACTTGACAGGTATATCACAGAAATGTGCGCATTCGCCCTATGCATAAGAGGTTTAGTATATCTGAAATGTAATTATATGTACCATAACCGGTGAGAAGTACTCAAGAACTCGATGAAGTTTCAGCACAACATTTATTGACGAAAGCTCATGCGAGAGCAACTCGCGATGAACAAACAGTAAGACTGCCAAACAGATCAAGCACTAGAAAGCAAAATATGGCTACTTACTATGATAAAACATTAAGACGGTCTAGTTTGTGCGGCATTAAGCACTATAAAATCTTGCAAATCAAATGCAACATAAGTGAGCATCGAAGTTTACTGCGTACCATAAACACTAGCTGTGGTAGGTGTTCGTCTCCATTAAAAAATGTGATTGAATGAGATCAAAGAAGCAAAATACTAATAACAAATTTTACGACACAAATAATGGAAGGTAGCCGTACATTATACACACTGACCGATGTAAATGACAGTTCAGAAAGAGTAAAGCTAAGGAAATCTGCCTTTTGCTGGCTGCTGAAGAAAAGCATGCATGAGGCAGTCCAATGCTCAAAACTCACCTGAAGTCCTAAGAACAGAAAACGAATCACAGGATACACATGCAATCGATGTTGCAGGAATAATCCACGTTGCGTCATTGCAATTATGGCAGTTTGTACCGTCGTAGGATCTTGGACGACAACGGAGAACGAAACGTGCTGGTTTCGGTAGCCCTAGATTCGGATTCCACTTAACTTTGTATTGACGAAGAGTGGCTGATGGAAAGTGAGAGTCAATAACGTGAATTTGTGAACCACAACTCGTGTCTAACATCGTTGGACGGGCCAAAGCGAAATCTAAAGGACTGCGAAGTTGGTGTCGCATATGTGCAAAGCACATCGATGTGTAAAAGTCTAGGTGGAAAAGAGAAGGCTTATTATATTTAACAGAGTGAATCGTGCATCAGTTCATGTGGAAAAGAATTAGATTAACAAAAGTTAATGAGCCCGTAAAATCTTTGCATGAAGAAATATTACCCATATAGACAAACCTGCTTTATTAAATTTCCGCAAACCATCGACAACTTCACATTCCACAAAATAGTTGTTTACGCACATATTTTTCTCGGAATTCAACAATAAACGAGACTCTAATGATAGAAGTCTACTTTCGTACTCCTTTCTGGCTTTCTCTTCAGTTAATGAAGATTTGGAAATGAACGATGATGCATGATTAGGCTGGAGCTTGAAATATCGACCACATGAAGGATCGTAAAAGAACCCAGGAACCTCTTAACAAAATTGCATTAGGAATCTCTATAAAAAAAAACCCTCCGACTCCATCAAATCACAACTTCCAGATAAGACACCTGTAGTACTGAAACTGCTTTAAACGGCCACAAAGGTCAACCAGCTTTCCACCAATCCGTCTGCTTCTTCGGGTAATTTATCAGTTAAGCCCTCCATTCAGGACTGCCCCCAATAGAAGAGGTGTAAATAAATGCGATAAATAAAGTTAGCCAAACATGTGCATGTCTGTTGTAGGATATATGTGTTATTTTAAAGTCAAGAAAGACTTTCTTTGATCAAAATCGTTTCACCTAGCATCATTAACACAAGATTTTCACCTAAGATTTGAGAAGGTCCACTGGATGTGTCCAAACATATTTTGAACTATCAAAATAATGTTTAGAAATGTATTATCTATTTCATTTTAACTCAATATGAGAAACTTCTAAATCACTCCATGATTATCACATTGTGTAGCCGAACACGAATACATTTCCTTTGGCTGCACTATTCATTTCAATGTATCTGCAATTGTTTCCTAGGCATGTAGCACACCACTTTCAAAATAGTTTCTGAATTCAAGGATAGGGCTTCACAATTACCTGAAATTATTGTTCTACACGTTCATCGTTTATTTTGGCTAGTAGGAGAATTTAGCAAACAGTGCAACAATTCGGTTAAATCTTAAGTTAATTGTGTGAATTTGTCATCTTTAAGGCTATTTTATGTTTTGAGCAACACTTATGTCTATAGTGGTGTTGAATGTTGACATAACATACTCAATTTTTTGCTTAATGCGGTGCCAGCATCCAAGTCCTTAGAAATATAAGGTAGACTCATGAAAATAAGTTTTTGCATAATTTTTCATAAGTACTGTAGGGCATGTCTGTGGAATGCAAAGTGAATGATATTCTACTGAAGATCCCAGGAAGTCTTTCAAGCAAAATACACAATCAATTGAACTGTTTATGTTTGCTGAGGGTCACCTTATCAAGGTCAAGTCCTATTTGTGCCTACGGTCCTGTTGTTTGCGGTCCATTTTGATTGGTGAAGTATCGGCGCGACTGAAATGAGTGTTCTGTTTCCTGGTCTTTTAGCAAATTTAATATTTGCTGTTATGTTAAGTGGTCTGGAAATCTTTGAGGATATTCCTGACAAAAATATCTCCCATTGTTCAAGAAAGCTCAGTGTTAATTCTGCGTTTGGATGTTCATCCAAATACCCCAGTAGTACTGCGGAAGTTTTAATTTCGGAAAACACTGAAAACCTCTATAAATCGCTCAAGGAAAGTGCCTCTTTGCGTATAGTGGTCATACCTCTATCAATTTTTGTCAACAAAGATGCTGTTTCATTCTTGAAAAGTTCGGAGAAGATTGCTGGACTATTTGTTTTCTCTCCGAATTTTCCAACTTCTAACAATTTCGATCCTCTACCATTCTCCGAAAATACTGCATGCCCAAACGGAAATTTTACTTTTTATAATAACACACAACGCCAGTGCAACGTTATTCCAAGCTGGAATCCACCTGCGACGGAATACGGCTTTACTTCCTGGCCATTTCCTGTAGTGCTAGCTGACGGGAGTGATTTCGCTACATGGGTAATGCCCCTTGATAGCTTCTGAAGTACTAGGAAAAAATTTTAGATTGTTTTAACACTTATAACGTGAAACCTATCGACGATACTCGTTGCTTCATGGAAATCCGCAACTACATGTCTGCGGTGAATTCTACACAAACCTGCTACAACCGTGAAGTATTGCTTAGTTATCGCCTGGATGTAATGTTGCAATTTATCCTAAATGTTTGCGCTTGCAGCCACCACCCACCTTCTGTAATCAAATTGGTGGAATGAATACTGTGTTGCGCGCCAGGGCCGTGACAAAAAGCCCGCAGGCTGAAGAAAATGACCCGACTGTTCTTGTGTTGTCACGCGTTGACGCACTGAGCATGTTTGACCGAAGAGCCACTTCAGGGCTTAGTGTATTGCCTGCTGTCAGTGTGTTAATATCTGCTGCTGTTCATCTACTTAATCAACCGGACGTCAAGGTAACAAGTGATATTTCTTATTCCAGGGGTTATAGGCTGGTAGACTTCGAAAAAATCTGTTGTTTGCCCTACTAGACAATGAGGCTCTCAGCTTCATGGGCTCGCAACGCTTTCTCTTCGATTTATCCCAAGGACATATTGCTCAGGCTTCTGGTTCACCCATAAAGTCGATCGAATCTGTTATTGAATTGACAGGTGTTGGGCTGCCGAAATACGAGGATAAAAGCATTTACTATCTTTTGTCTGATATTGAAATTGCAAAGCAGGTGAGTTCAATCTTTCTCCTCTTGCAGTGTAAACAATTTTACCATTTTCAGACCGAGAATGTTACGTCTGCAATCTGGAAGTCACTGAATGACTCGGCTGCGAGCCAAGGTGGCCAGGTTGTCTTGTTAAATGGCAGTGTTCCCGGACCTGAGCCGATGCTTCTTCCACCAAGCGTATCCACTCAAGCCTTGCTCACATATTACGATATGCAAGGAGTTCCGCTCAGTCACACCGTCATTTCGGACCGACCGGGAAGGTCTCCTTACGCCGACGAATGGATCGACTCGTTTCTCGATAAGAAGTGGCCACCCACTCCCGAGGCTGGTGAGCATCTCCTACAGTTGGCTAATGTGCTCGCAGATGCCTTGCATAGGGTATGTCGGTGTTGTACTGCGCAACTTTCTGTCTATGTGGGCCATTTTGATACAATACTCTAGGATCATTTTTGCTTCATTAAAAACCAGTATAACATCGCTTGTGTGGTATCGATATCGTTGAATTAGATTGTACATAACCTATAGTAAAGAATATTTGAATTTTTACCTAAAAGATCGCAACGTTAGTTACCACGTCGATTACTCTCCTGTGTTAGCGGTGTTAGGTCAGTTTTAGGAATTTAGATGTGGCCGACCTGCCAAAACAGCACTTGTACCCGTAGTAATACAAAGCGTCTACTAGATTACCCGAACGATCAAGTTAAAATGTAGCCAAATGAAAGTTTTGTGGTGAAATTTAAACTCTGCTTCCGAAAACGCAGCCGTGTAAGTTGAAAGTGTTAAAGAACTGAACCAGTATTATTTGAATGCCGTTCTTCATAGACGCCACCAAAAAGTAATTTTGGAACCACTTCACGAGCAATTGTGATATTTGTTTTCTCGCTTTTAAGTGGATCGATTTGTGAACCGTCATGTGAAAAGAAGCACTTGCGCATATCCCCAAATTCATTCGTAGTCGTGTAGATTTTCGACGACCCAAACAGTTACAAAATCATGACTGTTCCATCGCGGTAGGTTGTGCAAATGCTAGTGTTCTTCTCTTTAGCTGATTACAAAAGACTCCAAACCAATTCCTCAGCCAATCAGCGGCCTCAAGCCAGCCGAACTGATGCATTGCTTCCTCCACAACCCTGGCTGCGAACTTCTGCGATTGGTACGTAAGTTCCGTCTACTAAAAGCTCCTCTCTGTGAAACCTGAATCGGCATTTGGGCCAGGCGATTTTGCCATAGGCGACCAGTCCTTCTCAAGGAAACTTCACATGAAATGAGGAGTGGTAATTTACGCACATTGCAGGGCATCGTTTTAGACTTACGTTTGTGTTTAAAACTTGTTTAGCGGTAGAAATCGATTCTTCTGTTCCTTGCGTCACGTTTGGAGTTGTTGTGGTTAAAAGTTACTACAGCATTACGCTGTTGATTTCCGCTGGTGAATGCGAGGCGACCCTTCAGCGCCTAGATGCCCGTACCGTGGTCCTCATTTGTCCATTGCAGCAAGCAATTCCCACAAGATGGCGAGCTACTTTTCACTCATTTTTGACTTACTTTTTAAACATTTTGCAGCAAATTTATTTTTTTTATAAAGAATCAGACATGTGGCCCGATTACGCTACCAGCGATGCCCGTGAAGACCGGAGAAGATGTGGTCACAACCTTTTACTCCAAAGCTCAGTCTTGTTGGTGTCGTTCTGTCGTGTGTAATTATACCCCAAATGCGTGAATCAGCGGGAGTCATAAATGTGCTAACATCGAGACCTGTGGTGTGGTGATAATCCAGGATAGTCGTTTGCAGTAATAAGGCCTGAGTTGAGGTTCAGCTCAGTTGACAGCATGCTGTGAATGAATCAACGCGATTCACAGCAGATTTAATCTTGGAAACATTGTCCAGTAAAGTCGTGGACGAAGTTACGCACACCGTTCAGCGTTCCGAGCTGTTTGTCCATTAAGGTGTACTGTATTGACCGGACGAATGGCAATCGGATGGAGCCAAGTCTGGTGAATATGCCGTGCGTGGTAGAACTTCCCATCCCAAGTTCAAGAGGGTCTTTTGGATCGCGCGCGCAACGCGAGGTGATCGAGCGTTGTCATGTAGCACTATGACTTGCCTGCTTCCTTGCCCAGTAAACAGCCTTTTCTGGTGAAGTTCGTAGCTCTATTTGCACAACTGTCGGCTGTAGCCTTCCACTACCACCGTCTGACCAGTTTGCAGGAGTTCGTAGTAAATTACACCCTTCATGCCCACCAGATACACAGGAGAGCCTCCTTCAAGTGGATGTCCTGTTCCGGCGTCGATGTACAACTGGGTTGCCTGGATCAACTCACGTTTTACCTTTGAGGTTCTCTTAGAAAATATCCTTTAATCACCAACAACAAGTTTTCACAGGAAGTTGTTTTTGTTGCCGCCGGACGAGCAGTGAATCGCATGTGTTCATACGTCGGCCCGGGCTGTGTTCGCTCAACACACGTGGCATCTAACTTCCAAGTTTGTGAATTTTTCCCATTAGGTGGTGCAAACGCTTGGAAATTAGCTCTTCGGGTGACTCCCAATTGAACTGCAAGCTCTTGTTGCGCTTACATTGAGTCTTCATCCAACAGAGCTTGCCATTTTGCATCGGCAAATTTTCGAGGCCGTCCGTGGTGCTGCTGGTCACTAAGGTCGAAATTACCACGTCTTAAACGTTTGTGCCATCAACTGCACGTTTCACAAAACTTAACGTCAGCACCGAAAATACTAGAAATTAATTCCCGGGCTTTAGAAGCATTTTTTTTTCATGTTGGAATTCGTATAAAATGCAGTGTCAGATGCCTTGTTTATCAGTCACGACCGTAAACTCTGCTGTTATGCGAGGTTATGTTACTAAAGTAGACTCGCCATTCGGTGTTCTTAAACCCTGCGCCCGATCATTTAAAGACCACAAAAGACTGCGAAAATATATCACTTTTAAATATACCTTTATTATCAAAGAAAAAACCTGTAAAAGTTAAGTCACACCTAATAATTGTTTTTTTTGTTGCAATTATTTCAGCACTTGGAGCCAGACATAGTCAAATTCCTTCTGAGCATCAATGGCCCAATACCGATGCAGACCTACGAACCAGTGGACGGGCATGGCTGGCGCGTTTCCCACATCGCTGCTCGTCTGCTCATGGGGCTGACGGGCGAGCGGCTCAAGGAATGCCCCCCCAGCAAGGACTACGGCAGCTACACCTACCTGTATGGCTGTGAGTCACTCATTCTTTGCCGTTCTCTACGCAACAGCCTCGGTGAATAGTGAAGATGCTAACATAGCAGGGTCACTATCTGTTGCTTGTCAGTTTTACGTAAATTCACACGACTTAACAACATCGTTCCACCTCACTCTTGCTGTCCGTTGCCATCACAGCTCCAAAGCCAGGCTATTGGAAATTGGCTAGACACTATTCGCTCCTTGTTACCCGACTTTTGATTCAGTTTTTTGTGTAGAGCGTTTCTTGCTAGACGGATGTCCCGACCGCGTTACACCTAATTACCCAAATATGACCCTTAGTACTCTCCGCCTTTAGATTATAACGGGACGAACTGGTGCTACAAGAGTTTGATGGAGACCTCCACGTCCTTCTTCTTTCTTGAGGGCGGGGCGGTTGCGTCGCCCGGCTGGGTGCGGAGCGCGCTCTACGAGAACAAACGCTACGTCAGGCTTTTCCGTAGCTCCTCGCCCCACGAAGACGGAGTCTCTCTGGCTCTAGGAATTCTTCTGACCGCACTGATAGGATCTGTTGCCTACGTTTTGCGGCGATTTTCCGCACACATTTTTGTTAAACCCTATGACGTTATCCCAGATAACCAAGTCGTTCTTCCTGTGAATGTGATGTAACTTACCTGTCCCTTTCCACTTTTGTACACCATGCAAACGAACAAGCTGCTACTTAGGCATACTTTTAATCGGTCAAAGTACTCATACACGGTAGGTACGTGCCACTGCTAGGCAATTATGTTTTAATTAAATTCCGATCGCGAAGATCCTTGGATTTGTCTTTGGCCTTCCGTACAACTTCACTGAGGCGCCCGTTTTCTGCCAAGACTTTAAAAACCTCCATAAGGAGTGGTAAGTAGTTATGACGACGCCGAATATTCTCGGTACGCTGAGAAGCAAACTTCAATTTCTCAATTTCAATGTTGCGCTGCAGTTGTTTGACCATTTCGGCGTCAGGCTGAAGCAGGAGAACACATTTGCACAAACTGTTGAAGACATTAGCCTCTTTTTACGCCAAAATGTTAGGAATTTTAAACAAGGTAAAGTTCTAATCCGGTTCTACGAATTAGGGATTTGGAAGGGTCATGGGGACTACATTTACACCAAAAACCAGTTTGAGGTCGCACACCGTGTGCAAAGACGAAATAGCTGCCATGTGTTGGGGACGATTAATAATTACTCAACATGTGAAAGACTCAAAGGTGGTTACGCATGTCAAAATTAAAAAACCAATGCTTATAATTATTTTCCTTACAGAAGGTGCTGACAAAATCTCAGCCAACTGAGTCTGGTAGAGTTGCAGACGATCAGGAACAATAGCCATTAGGTTGAATTTCCCATCGATGCAGGAATTCATTCTTTTTGAAATGACGGGCTTTATAACGTCAATCCATGAGGAGCCTTCTGGCACTGAACCATGTAGAATGGGGGAAGGTTTAAGACCATCTAATTCATAAACCGCACCATTAATTGGGACGTATCCAACAAAATGATAAGCATCTTCACCGCCGGTTGCACCTTTATTATCGATTTCAAAAACCTGCGGACTGAAAAACCTTAGGACAGTAAACTAATCGTACTTGCTGAAACTATTGTGAGTTGTACGTAATTTGTCACAATTGGCGAGGGCTGTTCCTTTCATCTAGACGATATAACGTAAGGACGTCGCTAACCTTGCTGTCGAATTCAGAAACAAACGACTTAAATCCAGATAAGGTGTCACCCAGCTTAAATCGTGTTGTCGGTAAATTAAGGATAATATTAATAATTGCTTGGGTCGCGCAAGCATTCCTTATAATTTGCTCTGCAAAGAATATTGATTTCAGAGCATCACCCTCAACGGGTTGACCAGACTGTTCAATGGTCCCTTCCCACTTAAATAAAAAAATAAAACCAAGGGCATCATCGAAGCTTGAGATGTCGCTAAGATCATAGATTTCAATAGTTTCAAGTCCCTCAACACCTAAAAAATAATCATGCGTGACAGTGCGTACCAAACCCCTTCATAAGCTCATTAAACACCCCAGGATCGCTTTCGATCAAACACCAGTCACCTGAGTCACTCATGCTTGTGGTCCAATGGGTTTGAAGTTGTCAGTGTACAAACAAAATCCGCGCGGCCATATTGGGTCACACTAAATCAAACTCCACCGCAAGTTCATTGGCTTCTTGGTACTCTGATTGACCGATGGCCGCTTAGCTACAGTTAATTCTACCATCTAATTCCTGAATCTACGCTTTATTTAAAAAGCTGGTTTTAATCTATCTCAAAACGACTTAACGTCTATGTAAGAAGTACAACATCTCGAGGCATCGTAAAACTGCGGCAAATATGACCATTTTTTATAATAATACAAATGTCAAATGGACTTGGTCAAAATGTACAAAATCTCACACACGAAAAAAATCCGAAAAAATATGTCGAAAAAACAATAAGTGAGAAATTGTCGGTGGAAAAGAGCAGGAAATAAGACTTGAGGTGACCTAACAATGATAAATTGTCGGCCAGTAATGAAATGACTCGCAAGGCTTAAATAAGTAAATCTTAGGTTTTAGGTTGATTGAATCTCATTAAAAAAGAGTGTCCATTTATTTGATTCCAGTCCACTAACAACGTATCTAACCGCCACAATTCGATGGTTTCCATGAGATCCCACTTCACTGTTATTTTTCTGACAATGAGGTCATATCCTTTAAATTATTGTGAAATAAAGCAAATTAGCATTTTGTCTCCAAGGTGCAAGATCACGCTTTGTCTAAGGTTAAAAAAAATTTAATTCGGTACTGTCTAACATCGTAAGCCTATGTCATTTTAGAAATTTAAAGTCAAAAGCTCTTTGCATCAAGGCGGAATTTGTGCAATATTTTGTCTTTTAACCAGTCTTGATCATGAGGTAAATCATTGCATTAGAACCCTTTTATAATTTTAGTTACAACTGTTCAAAAGCTTAATTAGATATTTGTGTGCCTACATAGTTTAAATGCTTGGACATTCTTTTACTTGTAATCCGAGTACAGTTGGCAAAAGCTTAAAAACTCATTTTTTGAAATCATTTTGGAATAAATAGACTTTTTTAGTAAATTAAGTACGTTGAGTCAGTGAATGCATTCGTGCTTGTTCTTGCATGTCCTGTTGGCCTTTGAATAATATTTGCCTTTTTTGAACACAAAATGTGATACTGCGCACTTATTTTGCAATTGAGACTTAAGCATGCTTTTACATAACCTTTAGGTAAATATTAGAGTTTTTGATTAATGGGTGCAAGTTATTGATTTTTATTACCTGATTTTTTTTAAATTGTCATTTGACTACCAGTCTTTCTCTTGTTCGGAATGCAGGAATTTAAACGAAAGTGCGGTATTTTGCAATAAAAAGTTTGAATTTTAATAATTAAATGACAGATATTGAAAGGCAAGTGATTTAATAACCTAATTTAAATTTATTGTAGTGCGACTGGAAAAAGGCATGACTATACTGTCGTGACAATTGCTCTTCTTACGCTTCAGTGCATTAATAACAAATATCTGATTGCTAGAAAAGCACCGCTTACAGTATTTTTAATGCTTTTTGTTGTCATTGCATACCTCTGTGGATGGCCCGGCTCAAAAAAAACGGTAAATGTTAAATTACCTTTTGAAAATAGCTAGTTTTCAGGCGATTTTGAAACCATCGTTGTACAAGGCAATATGCTGCGTCTTCTAGTCTGTGTTCTGACCCACAAAAATGAATGGCATCTATACTATTGTCTTGTTACTTTTATTCGATACGGATCTGTTACCGAACGATATTTTTCTGGCTTTGATTTTCTTAAGTACATATTAATTATAATGATCGGATCCGGCTTAGTAATGCTTACGAGCTACCGCTTGGCTTACATATTTTCAGGCAAAAAGGTCTATGAAAATGTTCAGCTTTTAGGAATTGCTGGTAATTATTAAATTAATTTCGTTTCTAATAGTATAATGTAAATTTCGTTGACGAGTATTCGCTGGTGCAGATCTGTTTGGTGTCCCACAATAGCGGCAATTTGACTTATTTAATAGAAAGCTGATGGTTTATTTTTAATTTTCTAAGATTTTTATCTTTAATCTATGTTAGTGATGCCCCACTCAATGGAAGCAGTCACATTCTCTAATATGAATAAATAATCAAATTTGTTTGCAAAAATCAGGAATCGGATGTATCAATCAATAAATCTTGGGCTTAAAATTTCACATTAAAAAGCACTTACGAAGACTAAGCACACACACGTTCAACTCTATTTTCCAAGTTAGCGTGTATAAAATTAAGAAGAATCAGTTATATTACTGTGATATTTGGCAAACGTGAACTTAGGAAACAAAAGACATTGTTTCATAAGTTTGATCTTAGCAAGAAGTTTTACTCTGCTATTTTAACTTTCAAAAAATTCAATTTACCAGCTTAACTCACTGGTTTTTGTTATTACAACACAAGAAAATATACCATGGTAGTCGACGAAGTTCCTCAAAATTCTTACGCATTTAAACCCCAGGCCATGTTTCTGATTTTTTTAAAAGTTAATTTGTACTACTTTAGAGACAGCGACAGCACTTGGTGTAATTTCATGTTTAAACACTCACGGTGTCTTTGCTGAATTCAATCTACCTGGAGGGTATAAATGCAAAATTCCAAAGAAGCTAGTGAGCTGGACTCTCTGGGTTTTCAGTGATGTTAGCAGGCTCTTGCTGTTTCCACTCGGTAAGGATTTTAGCATTGGTTTTTCTACTTTATTTTTCTGTAAGATTTTAAGCATTACATACATTAGGGAGTATCTTGCGTTTTCGTATGCACCCACGTGATCCCTCCTAGTTACTGTGTTTTGAGGTCTTTGCTAAGTACTTATGATCATTAAATAATCAAACATACTTTCATCTTTGCTGCAATATGTTTTACTAAGTGGCACCTTCGCTTAAAATATGTCTGGCTTCTCAAATGATATGACCACAGATTTATAAGTGGTGGGCCGTTTATTCGTTAATCAAATGGCATTGAATTTACTAGAAATTAAACTGTGAAAATAGTCGAGTGTACTTACACAAAATTCCCCGAGACGAAATACGTGACAGCGACAGTCTAGAGTAAAGTTTATCGAACAAAATGACGACTGATAGGCACTCAACCTAGCTCAAAAATAATTGAAGCCTCTGGTTAATGCGCCACCAACTTTCCACTTACTGGTACAGACTCTCCAAATTAAAGCAATACGAGACCTCAAGCAGTAAGCGCTTTACTTTCTCATCCAAAGCCAAAGGGCACGTAAGAAGAGCACCAAGTCAATTCAGTCGAAGCTGAGTCGACAAGAATTGCCACCCTACCAACTTTCTAGATAAATTCAAGGACCATTACCTAAGTGTGCGTTAAACTCAACTGCGTTTTATTTCAAACCATGCTAGTGTTGTGCTAGTTCCCATTTTCGTGTCCATGTTTTGCATTTATTAGACTTTTCAAATTCTGTGCAGCACCAAGAAGCCAGCATGTTCTTTTTTCTCACCTATATCTCGACTTGCGTTCTGAGGGAATATGTTTTCTTCAGCATCCAAAAAATATCAAATTAATTCCAGGCAATGATTATGTTCAGAGCATTGACGCTTTCGACACAGAAGTAAAATGGGCTTCTTTCTGAATTTGTAGGACATCTTGCCCCCCTAGTCACGGGACTGTTGTTCTGGGTTTGCTTTGACGACTTACGGTGGTCAAGACGCAGGAGGTCTCGGCAACTGCACATTGGGCAAATGTAAATCTCTTCATGTTATTTTGTAATTGCAGGGTCTAGCGTAAAGTAACCTAATTGGCTGGTCATTTTCAAGTTCGACTTTTTCCCTTAATCGATCGAGCCCATAACGCCTTCCCAAATCTCGATCTTTTATTGCATGAATTCCATCCAGCACAACTAGGTGTAGACGTGTATTAGTCTATACTTTTGGATGCGCGTTAATTTTAATTGAATTAAAACCACGCTGAGGTGGACATTCGTCATTTATTTAACAAATTTCCGCAAAGCAGACTTTTACTCTGCGCCACAAAGCCACGTGCTTCTTGAAACCAATTATTATTATTATTACTAATTTTGTGTAGTGTCAGTTAATTCGACACATCGAGAGGTGAATTTGTGGGTCAAATTATCATTTTTTTCAGAAACACAACTGTTTGTATCAATTCATACTGCTTTTCAGTAAAATAGAAGGTCTGTCATAACCGATTTGGGAAATATCTCTCAAACGAATGTCATACCAAATTGCGTCCATATAATCTCCATTTTCCAAAATCTTAAAACTTTTGCTTTCGTTCCACAGAAATCATGCTAAAGCCACACATTTTCGAACTAAAATAAAAAAATAAACTTATTACATCGCATGAATACATAATTCGTGGCTCTCGCGGAATTTTAGCAGTAAATTTGTGAGCACTCTGAATCCTCATTCGTTGTTTTCTATCATCTTAATAGCCTGGTATCGCCTTGACGACACTCACTTAATTGTTTCTTCTCCCTCTAGCTAAAAATAGACTTCTACGAGTTGTGGATTACACCAATCATCATCATCATCACCTTTACACTAACTCCCTTTGGTCCAACGAAATCTGAACCCAAAGATTTGAGCTTCGGAGGGAGAACTTAATTTCAAACTTATCAGTTTATGATATAAAGTGACTGATTCGACACCTCATTGATTTTAATTCAGAAGGCGATTTGAAATGGTTCAAATTAGTGATAAAATAAGTTTGAAAATGAGATATACACTCCAGTTGCAGCCGTTATCAAAAACTATCTTAAAGAACAGTGATTTCTACTTCGATTCAACTGCGCGATTTCCGCCGGGTTTGCATCCAGCGGAAAGCTGATCTCTCCGAATTTACTCCAGTGCATGCAATCATGCTTCACTCGATCCACTAAATCGGGTGACGGAAGGCATCTGCATTTGCGTAATTGTTGAAGATATTCAGTTTCTTCAACACTTCAGCAAAATTTATGGACCAGCAAGAGCATGATAAATCAAGTTGACAGCTCAAAGGGGGCTAAGTTGACCGATCCTTTCATCGTCAGCTTCGTGAACGAAACTTCTCTGGACGGATTTTGGTGGAGATGATGAGTAACAACAACTGTCGATTCAAGAACCAACCGTCAGTCCTAACATTTCTCACAAACGACCTGCAAACGCTATCGCGTCCATGGCGGAATTATACATCAGGCCCAAGGTGTGAATGAATGACTCTGTGTGCCTCATTGTGCTGTCATTCTGTTGAAATTTCAAACTCTCATGAATGAAAGGAATTGCATTCTTGCAGATTAAACCTGAACGTGGTTTGCTCTCTGCAAGACGCACCAATGTATTGCATTTCTCTATGCTTTAACAAAACAGATGGTCTGAGTTGCTGTATTATGTAGATCACATCCTCTAAGTCAACTGCTTCGAACGTCCGTTTAATTAAACTACCCAATTGCACAAATATCGACACCTTTGTACTCAGCGAGCAGTCGTTTCTCGAGTCAAGCATGTCACTTCGTTTAGAAGGCCCCTAGCTTCGTTTAACGCTAGGTTTATTTAAAGCCCCACAATACTTTTTCTTTGATTGGCTGATAAACAAAAGAATAATGTAACTGGCGAAGTGGGCATCGTTACACTGCCCGTGAGGAAGGCTTTCATTTTTTATTAAGATCTTTCGTGGGTAAGTGATGGCATGGCGATTGAGGTTGCATGAATCTTCAAAAAGTACACGAGAAACATTATGACCATCTTACGTGCAGTAAATGGGTGAATTATTCTGCCCAGGGTCCCCAATACTGTTCGATGAAGATGTCACAGCGGTTCCGCAAGCACTTCGGTGGAGACGATGTCACTTCTACCTGGCATGAGGTGTGTGTGGTTAACCGGAATTCGCCGATCGAGGCTGCTGTCGACATGGTTTACCCGAAGAAGGCAAACCGTTGAAGACATGCAGCAGTCGAAACAGTCGTCCATTAATCCTCCACTCAATTTTGGTGCAATTGCAAGGTGCGCGTCTATTTTGTTTGGCACTGACGGCTGTTTTTATTGCGCACCTGCCTCTAGCAGACTAAACTGGCGGGCTACGTTGCTAATGCTGAGATCACTTGAGCGAAATGCTCATTTATGGGGGATGCGTTTTCCGCACCCCCGGACACACCCAGCAAACAGTTCGAAGTGGAATGCAACGAGTACGCTTTACGATAACCAATCAAACTGTGTCAAATTGCAACTCTGTTAAGTTGGCGACCAGGTCTACTTTACTGTCTGTCATTCTTTTCCTACGCATGCACCTCACTGACCTAATACCGTATCCGTAAATGCTTGAACGCAAACTCAATATCTTAGCATCCTTTACGGAGTTTCCGCGCACGGTCCCCGGGTTCCGCAAATGATTGGCCTCAATGCTCAACTCGAACCCAAGTTGAAAACACAAATGTACACCTGCAGTCGAAATAAGCTCTGTTCCACATCAGTCTGCTTACACCCTCGCACAAGAAATGCTTTAGTTGCGAAGTACGGAAAGCATCGTCAAGACAACAGATCCAGCAACAAACAAGAACAGGTACTAAGCACCCGACAATATGATTTAAACTCAGGACACCAAAATCCATGAGCAACGTGAAGATCACAGAGTCATAGTTATATTATTACAGAAAACAAATAAAGTGGTAGAGTTATATATATACATTCATGGAAAGAAAGGCGTGACCACAAAGCAATCCAACTTTATGCATCGCTAAGGCAGGTGAGTAGAGACTCGATCTTGGCAACCACATGTCGGCCAGGAAGACGTGAGAGATCGACCTGCCGGAAATCGAGGCGACTTCGCCTCCCGAAATCCAGTGTCTTGGGGACGCTCATGGCGGTCTGAAAGAGTTCTCCGTTGCTAGCCAAGCTCGACAAGTCGTCCTGCGTTGTCTTGGCAACGAAAAGCTCCAGGCCGCCGGAGTTGCTACCACCGCCGCGAATGCAAACGAGACTACGATGAAAAAAGGCGTAGTTAGGCCAATAGAAATGCACCTTCTTTCTCTTTTTGAGATGATTGCTAGCTTCCACTAACGAAAGACGCGATTTGAGTTGACGCATGTTAGTGTCCCAGTCTACGCGTTCCAAGGTCCACATTGTTACGAAATTTCATGACGTTGAAAGCCTCGTAATCTTGCTTAAGGGTTAATCCACTACACCGAGTTTGGTCTCTTCTTTTGGCACGAAAAAACACTAATATATACTACTTGTAATGATAAATTTCAGGACTAATTTGATGATTAGTGCGCACACCACCCTGAAACAGTCGTTACTACTAGGGCGAACGAGGTCAGTCTTGAAGGTTTTGCATTTTATTTGAAAAAGCAGAATCCTACGTTAATAGGGAATGAATTCTCCCCCTAAGAGGAGTACACTGAGGAATTAGATCAGTCCGATTGGCCGAGGAATTGATTTTGCGGTGACCTTAGCGATCGCAAGCCGGTTAGGTGGATTACAGGTTGTGCAAGTTGGTCGTTGGGACTAGCGGGTAGGGATCCACAATGGATTATGAGAATGTGGACGGAGAGTGGGCTTACCGATTTCCACTGCGAGACCCCATAAGAACGGCATCGCGTGGAGTCGTGGCCGACGCTGACGGTGACGCCGCGGCGGTGCAGCCCAACTGTATCCAACCCAGGAGCTTTGAGGCCAGGCCTTGCAGAGTGAACATCTGATTCCCAAACTCCTGCAGCGGAAACCAAGCAGTGGCATAAGCAAAGGTCTACGTTCTCACTTCACTCTCTAAAACGATTGAGCGAATTTTCACACTGGGACATGTAGAGCGGCTTTAGGACGAGTGAAAAAATATGATAATCCGCATTTGAAACGCAAAGAGGATTTAATTGACCAAAAGCAGTGAATGCACAAACTTTAATTAAATGGCATCAAATTGAAAAGTGATGTTTAGTAAAGAGTTTAGATGGGGAAGCATGCACAAATTAAAATCAGTAAGTGCCATGATGCCATGAGGCTTACACTCCCTTCGGAGTACAATCCTTCCACAAAAATGAATACGTAACAAAGAAAAACTGGGCAAATTTGTAATTTGGAAACAAGAAACAGCCGAGTGCTCGGTGCATAAAACCGTGTTTGCAATGTATTCAAACTCTGAAGTAGATGTGAATGCGTTTTCAGGCTATTGTTGAAATGGCGTGAAACATTAGAAGAGATTATACGCGATTTCTGTGACGAATGAAACGCTACCACCACCTCTCCACCCTTTAAAACCAACAAAAGGGAACTCACCTGTGCTTTCAATACACGCCAGAGATGCGTTTTCGTATCTGCTGTGGCAGGGATGATGATTGGCTGGGAAGAACCGCAGGCGCCATACACACTGATTGAATTGACGCCCACGCAAATGGTCAGGCGGGAGCGAAAGCTTGAATATCCGGCAGAATGGAAGGTTACGTTGACTGACGAGGACAACGGAGAGTTAATACTGTGCCACAAAGCTAGAACACACATGCCGGGGGCTGCCTCCGTTCGAGCATAACCAGTCAAGCACTTTGAAACTCTACAACAACATGAGCAACGTGATTGGCCGATTGAAAATTTGACACTGAATGTTCAGAAGGGAGGGATTACCTTTCACGAAGAACTCTGTGTTTAGCAAGGCTTATCAGCTGCGTCAGAAGACTCTCTCCAGATCCAAGGACACAACTAATGGCAGCTGTGGAGGCCTGGGATGATCTGAGTGCGTGCTCTAATCCGCTGAGGGTTAGACTTGAGGGCACCACATCATCGATAGCGGGCTGCTGGTGGTTGATGGCCCAATCGTTGAAGTAACTGTAGCGCTCCTGGCCGACTGGCGCGGCGAACACCTGATTTGCCCGCAGAGATGAAGTCTGAAACGCTTGGTTTTGGGCAGCCATCCACGACGAAGCGGCAGGGCCCCCGAAGCCCGCGACACACGCTGTTATGATGGGCACCCCTTCGCAGCTAGATAAGGTACTGTTTTGCAGAGTAGTCGTTGCGCCTGCAGCTCGTAATCGACGCGGCACTTGAACTGGTCCGGTGGGTGGGTTAGGGGCGCTTGCAATGTTCGACCAGGAAGCCATGTGTTGCAGAAAGAGGAGACGTTTCAGTTGAGTTCTCAACCCTGGATGATCGTAACACCCATCCTCAGCTAAATCTCCATTTAATTTTTCTAGACTGACCGAAATCTGGAAACCAGGGAAGACCGTGGCAACGACTTTACCCTGAGCATGGAAATGAAGTAGGTCAGTTGATCAGAAAAATGGCACAGAGATATAAGTGAATGGCTACCTGTGACGAAAAGGCTACGATATCGGTTTTACTCTTGTCAACTCCAAGTAATGATGCTTCGAATGACAGAGTTGAAAGAATCTCGCGACAAGCCAAAAGGTTATGAGCAAGGCATAGGCGTTTAGATGTGGAAAGTGGAGATTCGAGATTGCAGATTTTTACTGGCTTCTTAGAGGGCCGCTCCAAAAACTCCTGCCAACTATTAGGACGCTTATGGTTTAATTCTTTAATTGAAACGCGAAGTCTGCCGGTACAAAGATCCTTTTCAAGCAGTGATTCCATAGTAGAACTAAACCGCACCTATACAAACATGGAAAAACCACAGTTATCCTACCTTTATAACATCAGGGGACGGTCCGAAACCGGAAGACTGATTTTTGGAAGCATCTGACCCAAAAACCTCAAAGTTGCCGCCTTCTTTGGCCCGAGAACCAATTGAACGCAGGCTGGCATCACCTAACACCACGCTTTGCATTAGTTTCAGCCGCCAGGATTTTCTCAGCTGCATGAGACTTTCGTGGTAGGAAAGAGGCTTCAGGCCATCATTGACACGCTGCTCAGTCTGGACCATTTCAAAATATCGGCATCGAAAACGCTCAGCTCCTTTAAGTAAGATATTAGCTGCTGATGCAAAAGCCTACTAATAGAGTGTACAAAATTGCAAAAACCATTTTTTTTCCACAAAAGCAAATGATGGATTGCGAACTGATGCCACACCCAGGAAAATCAATATCTCGTTCGTGCTCTACGGGGGCAATTTGGCAAAGGGATAGGCATTTAGTCTCCTTCATAACCGCCATAAGATCGATGAATGCGCACACTTCTGTAAGAGAATTTCTGAGTTGAATTGAATGATTGAGGAAAATAAGTTCTACTTGATTTGGTCTCGAAGGTAAACCCAGGTTTTCTCAGGAATGCTCGAGCTTCCGTTTCTTCCAGACAAACTGTTCGACGAGCGCCGACCGTGACCATCGTCGTTAAAGTCGATTCCATTTACAATCCTGTGAAAATTCTCCGCTGCTGTCAATGGTCTGTCAATACAAAATCAACACATGTAAACATTTTTTACTTTTCCAGGATTTCCTGTCCGTCAGGCAAAATTTCCTGTACCTTGTACTCCCAAAGGGCTTCAATGGGTAAACAACTCCTTCCTCTACTCTGCATTTTGGCAGAAGACTTGGTTTAGATGGGTAAGCCAGAGGCACAGATAATTACCTAAATTAACAGTGGAGTCCAATCAAACGAATGTGTGTGTGTGTGCATAACACCTGATGCCGTCCCCTATCAGGTTATCGCCACTGGATAAGCGATAAGGATTAAATAAAAAATCACCGCTTTTCAAATTTAAAGCGCCAAGTAATTAAACACACAGTCCTTTTGACATAAATTCATTAACTCTTTCGATTTACCAAGATTTGCAAATGCAAAATATGGTTACATTAACACCTGATTTTGGTCTCATACATATTCGTCCATGGAAGGATTTTGCACCAGCTCCTGCACGACATGCATCCCTTATGTTTCTTCAAATTTTTGCATCAATAATTTTTCATTTACTATTTTTGTGTACAAAAATCTTGAAATATAAAATTGAGAAGATTATAATTGACTTTAATCATATTTCTTACTACTTGATGGGGAATTCGCTGTTAAAACAAAGCAGAAAATCGGTGATGAAATCCTAGTCGCGATGATTTTTAGTAGTTGAAATTACTTTTTAGTCTAAGACCATGCTTTGAACTTTTAAACTACTTAAAATGTTATTACCATGAATACGCGATTGAATCAACTCTTCTCCATTCAGTTTGTTTATTTAACTGAAATATGGGCAAATGAGAGGAGGACAAACAAGCTAACCCCTGAGTGATTGACAAATTCAACAATCTATTTCTAAATATTTTTTGCATATATCAGAATTTTCCCGAGTGATTTAGTTAGATCAACGAATGGTCAAAATCTGTTTCCTATGGTTAAATTAACTACTATGACATTATTTCATTAATATTTGAGGTCGCGCGGGCCCAGATCCATTTATAATTTAATGATTAGGTGGATCGAAAAGCCTGCTCCTAGGTCAATGCATAGGCAACCGAGTTTCAGCGTTTTTCAAAATGGACGCTCACGCTAAAGTAAATTTTACAACCCTAACGTAAGATTCAGTTCTATTTATCTTCTCCTTCTAGCTCAGGAATTACCAAAGATGCGTTTTGTGTCATACAAAACCGTCAAATTTGCCGTTTTTTCAAAAAACTTCCAACACAAGAAATCATCGAAAAACTTAAATTGTTGAAGAAAGGGAATGTTATTGTCATAACGCGATGTCGTCTTGATAAACACAACTTTTTTATAAAAGTCTTTGACAAGCTACAAATGTTAGTTATTACAGACTGCAAAATGGACTTTCTTCCCAGTGTGAATGACACGCGATTTTTGACGTACTTAGACCTTTCCTTCAATTGCATATCCAATCTTCCGAGTGATATAGGTCTTTTAAGTAAACTTAGAGTTCTCAAATTGGCTGGTAACCGTATAACCAACGTTCCCCGCGAGGTTGCTGGCCTTGAGTTATTGCAGGTTCTTGATTTGAGTAATAATATGATTTCTTACTTTCCAAGCGACGTTTGTTTGATGCATAGTCTGAAATATCTCGACTGCAGTTCAAACTCACTCTCGAAATTGCCGAATACTATATCTACCCTTCCACGCCTGGAAGTACTATTTCTAACAAATAACAAGCTTACTTGTTTGCCTAAGAACTTTTCCTTGCTTAAGGAGCTGAAACGATTAAAATTGGGAAGCAATCGTTTTGAACACGTTCCGTTTTGTGTTTTTGAATGCTCAGCTCTAAAAGAATTTGTTTTCACTTATAATCAGGCATCAGGTGTTGTTCCTGATAATTTCTGCAGACTGACAGATTTGGAAATACTGTGCTTGGCTTTTAATAAATTTACGAAATTACCTGGAAAGTTGTCATCTCTGTCTAAACTGAAGTTCCTTAATATAAGAGGAAACCGCATTGAAAATATTCCAGAAGCGATTATTACTAAGTGCAAAAAACTGACTGTACTAAATTGTTCTTCCTGTTCCCTGAATCGAGTTCCTGAAGCATTAGGACTGGGCGAAAAATTGTGTGTCCTGGATCTATCTAACAACGCACTTGAGCAGTTGCCCTCCGAAGGCCGAGAATTAAAAAGCCTAACTGCTCTCTTCGTAGCGCACAACGGTATCTCGGTTCTACCTGACTGGATTTGCGGGTCTCATAATATAATAGCCATTTCTCTTCGAAATAACAAACTGCAACATCTACCGGAAAAATTCAATAAGGTGGCAGAGAACCTTCGTGTAATTGACCTGTCGCATAATTTTTTTGAGCGGGTCTCAACTTCTCTGCTTCCGGTGAATTCAAAACTCATGTATTTTCTTATGGACTACAATCCACTATTGCACTTGCCTTCTGAGATTCGTAACCTTAAATTTTTAACTCATCTCTCGATTTCAAATTGCCCCTGCATTCATGAACTACCTGAGGAGATTGGTGAATTGTCTAAGTTACGAGTCCTTCGACTCTCTTCAAACAGTCTTTCCAGTTTGCCCCGTTCCCTTTATTGTCTTACCAACCTTCACTACCTTGATTTATCGGACAACAAATTTTCACGGTTCCCGGTCGTTGTTTGCTTCATAACACATTTGAAGGTGCTTCTCTACAATAATTGCTGCCAGATTTGCACATATGCCTATCCAGATCCAGAAGGGTGGTTTGATCGGACAAGCCTTATTGATCCAGGAGCATCCATGGATAAACTTGGAAAAGATTACTTAGAGGAGATTGAAGCACCAATAGACGATGAAAAATCAATAAGCTTAGACGAAGCCCTTGCTGCTGAGGAAGAAGCAAAGAAAGTACCACAAATCAAACCAGAAGAAATTGCAAAACTAGTTTACAGAAGAGAGGCAAATAAAATTCCCAGTCTACTTTGTCGCTTGAAGTTTCTTGTGCATTTATCAATGCAGCAAAATGGTCTATACTTTTTCCCTGATATATTTAACAAGTTAAAGCGTCTTAAACGGCTATACTTGAACGACAATAACCTCAGGAAGATTCCAAAGTCGCTCGCATCTTGCAAGACGTTAAATCACATCTCTCTGGCTAATAATAAACTAACTGAGATTAATACGGACATACACCGACTTCCCAATCTCACGCAACTTGATCTCGACGGTAACAAATTCCCAACTGGTCTTAGTGAAGTCATAAAACATTCCACTTTAAAGGGCCTTTGTGCTTACCTTGAAGCAGATTCCAGAAACACTAGTACGTTGCATTCATTTAAATAAAATAATTCTGAAAATTCAGTACTAATTGCTTTAAAGGCCTTGTGTGGCTTTGCATTATTCCGCATTTAAGTCACTAGTGCTAGCCTCACTGGGATATTTATTGCTTAACTGTGTTTTTACTACATTAGGGCATCACCTTTACCTAATTACTAAGATGTTTGCATTAGTGTTATGTTGAGACTGTTAATTGTATTTATTTCATCTAAACTTAATACTTAACTGGGTTTAAATGCCGTTTTAGGCTACATATTGCGTTGCATGTGTGAAAAATTTGTCACTCAGGTGAAACAAGATGACTGGCCAATGATAATGCAGCGTCTGGGACTCTCCGAGAGCACCATACAGCACATAGAGGAAGAATTGCCCGGAGGTTACAATTTCCATTCGCGAGTGCGGCGTTCACTTGAGTACTGGACAGGCTTATCTTTGTCGACGGAACAGAGCAACGCGGAGACAAAGACGCCAGCGGAAACCACGACAGAACCCCTCGACCTGATCACCACCACCACCGCAGACGTGGACGACCATCCCGAGAGGCAGACACCCGTCCTCGTGGGAGACTCGTCGACCGTTCTGCCGGACTCGGACGTCGGCAATTCCACTCTCCAGCCAATCAGTTTGCGCTACATACCCACTGTCGTGGGTCCAAAAGCTACGCCTGCGAGACTGCTGCATATGCTCAAACTCCTCAATCAGAATGAGCTTGCGGAGGCTGTGGCGACGGTCTTAGAGTCTGCCCACATCCGGCGGCTCTGATTATCGATCTTTTTCATGACAGCCTTTACTAATCTGATCAGAAACACTCACCTAGATTTCTCTATGCTTCCTGTTCGAAACTTCAGGAACTGATGGTGAATGATAACGTACCTTAAGTTAAGGAAGCCCTACATCTCTCAAATTGTTGGTTCAATGGTTGGCAGTTGCAATGGGGGTCGCGATTCGCACACTAGCGTTTCGCACTACTTCGAACACTATTCTTGGCATTTTTGGAATCAAATGCAAAATATATTGGCTTCAATCTTCATTGAAACTTCTCCAGGTACGAGACCGATTTGTTGAGCAACTGAATCTGAATGCGCATGAAGCATGTTAATTTGCTTTCCCACGAAAATTGCTGTTTCACTATTTGACAGATGTATTAAGAAGACTTCCGTGTGTACTACAACCTCCCGTTAATCGATTTCGGCATCCAGGTAATTGAAATAGGCAACAGGCTCTCTGTTTTAAAAGTTCCGTGGTGAAAGACCAGAGTATAGCACAATTCGGAACGTTGCATCACCAGTTTATTCCCATGCAAATAATCCCAAATGCCTTTGTTCACACAAATCAACTGGACTGACCTATCAAGCAGGCAACTGTGTCTCCGTCGTCGTTGTTCGGTTAGTGGTCTCGGGGTGGCTGAGAATCGTAAAAGGGCCCCGGCGTTGGTTCGAGTCCCGACATTATTACCTGACCCGATTTTTTGACTGAGAGAATATCGACCGGTTTTCTACTTGTCCGAGATACCTGACCTTTTGGTAAATTCTGCACTATGCATTTGACTCTTAGATTATGTGAGTTTTTGAGCTGTTAGTTGAAGTTTTAACGAAAGAATGCGATTAAAATTATACCATATAGGTAGAGTGCTAGAGTGTTATAAGCGGACTACTGTCAATTACACACCCAGGAACTGAACTTTTGGGAGAAAAGATGGACGTACGTCCAGGAAAACATTATTTTATTGCCCAGGGAACCCTATATCCTATCGAGTGATAAAGTCCTGATTCTTCTATCAAAGTATCCTTTTGTGGAATCAAAATTACACACTAACAACCTCAGAATTGGAGTGGATAGACATACGATTACGTAAAGCCACATTGAAAATCGGTGGACTGTCCACTGATAGGCAACAGTCTGGTCGTCGCTGGTGCAGTCGTGGGAAGCTATCGCAAAAATTATCAAACTACGGCTACATTTCGCCCATAATAGGAACCTCACAAGCAGGTAACAGGTACCCAAGATCTCCTGTCTGATGCCAGATTTTGTGCTCAGATTTACCTTAACCTGGTGGATCAAGGTGGATTAACACGGATGGAGCTGTCCGTTGGGTGTCATAGCTAAGTGACCAACTTAAGTGGCCTCGTTAGGGTACTTGGGTGAGCAATGACGAATCCCTAACCAGCGATGAGCCGTCTCGGGGAATGACGGCACCCCCAAAGGATGTAAACAGTGTCGCATTTTGCTTCATTTGTGAGGCCTTCTTAAAGTGAATCTCAAACCCACATCGATTCACGGATTCCACCAGACGAAACACTGTCGATCGTCTGAAGGCTCAACCCACTTGGATGCTGGTTTTGTCGAAACTCAGTGTTGTGCCTACTCCCAGGCCAAGGGCGGACACGTGGGAAATTTTCGCACGCGGATGCATGTCCCGGCGTGTCCGCAGAAGCGAGAACAGTTGAAAAAAAACAGAACAATCTCAAGCTATGATCTAAAATGTGGTCTAGGGATTTTTTGACAGAGAAGGTGGATGTTACTTTACATGACTCACTACAATAGGACTAGAGAAGTAGTCGGTTTAACTTCGAATTAAATTAAGAAACGTGTCTAGCCGCCTACGTACTTTGACAGCACTCGAAAGACGATAAGTGTTTATGTATAAGTTACTTGTAGACCTCTCAATAGCTAATAAAAAGACCCCATCCCAACTAGCGATATGCCAGAACTTTTCTGAAAACCAGCGGATACCTTGGCCTGGCGTAAATCTTTTGGCTCATTGACAATCATGAAAGGAATGAGACTGAGATTGTCGTGATCGTATCAACCGTTGCATCCAAAGTGAAAAAGGCGGCTACAAATCTCGAGATTATAACCCGAGTTTTTTTTCGTTTTAGAATGCTAAAGCAAACAGTACCGCTTGCCCAAAAGGTGCCAATCTGTTACCATAGCCTAGCTATTTTGGAGGGTAGTTATTTTTTAAGCAAATTTGATGCAATTGAACGAGTGCTTGCCTTTTGTCTTCTTAAAAACGAGATTCGGAGTGATATAATTCACAACGAAGCGTGAGTCTGACTTCGAGATTGTACATAACGAACAACTTCGTGACATTAGATGTACAACACGCTGCGGATTCTAAGAATGGACAGCATTTGAAAGGGATAGACGGGAAGATTTATCAAACAAATAGAGATGAATTTCAGGGTTAATTTGAATTCGAGCACTTTTTGATGAATCTGCAACAAGGCTGTTTGGTTTAGTTACTATTAGAAACCTGTGTAACCAACTTCGATGGCTGTAAACGTGACAGGATGACAATGCGAATGCTTTGACTCTTATTTGTTTAAGTATGCTAAGGTCACCTCACAAGTCTGTTTATATCCATCAACCAAAACCGGATGTTCAGACTTATCGATTTATATACACTGGTCCATATAAACAAAGTGCGAAATAAAAGGCCAGCAGTCGAAGGTGTGAGTTATTCGCCGCGCAAACCACAGTCACGATGTCTGTGTCCACGGGACAGCTATTGACCCTGTTTCTAATTCTCGGCGCGTTTTGCACTGAGGCGATCTACAATGAAGCGTGCGATGCCGTGCCGAATCCGAGTCGTCTGGATTGTCATCCTGAGCCGATGGCCACCGAAGCTGAGTGCCTTCGTCGCAACTGCTGTTGGAGCCTCGTCGACAGGGATCGGACGATAGCCTGTTACTTCCCCGCCGACTACCCCACCTACGAGGTAGTCGGTGGCATTCGAAAGGAGGCGTGCGGGTTTTCGGTGACGGCAAAGCGATCTGCTGGCGCTTACTCAGCCGTACCAAATCCAATTAACGAGGTCAAATTAAGTGTTGTTTACGAAACGGACACCAGGGTTCGCATTCGCATCACTGACCCCAACGCGAAACGCTGGGAGCCTCCAGTGGAACTGGGTCCACCTGACAAGGTGTGTCCCGAGAAGAGGAATTACGAGGTCGGTGTTGACGAGGTAAAAATGGGTTTCAATGTCTCCCGTGTGAAAAGCAATGGCGAAAGAGTAGTTCTAGTCGATTCTACAGGTTTGATGGCCAACGCCTTTGTCTACGCTGACCAATTTCTCCAGGTTGCTTTCAAAGTGCGCGCCGTCCACGGATACGGACTGGGGGAGAGAGAGGACACCTTCCCGATGGACATGCACGACTGGAAGCGAATGAGCTTCTGGTCGCGAGACGACATTCCTCGTAGAGACGCGAACCTCTACGGCGTGCACAACTTCTTCCTCGGCCTCTCACCGGATGGAACGGCCTTCGGTTTCTTCTTCCTCAACAGCAATGCATTTGAAGTCATGAAACAGCCGCTACCCTCGTTCGCCTTCCGTACAATCGGTGGAATCCTTGAATTCTTCTTCTTCGTTGGTCCAAGCCCGAACGACGTGGTCTCGCAGTACTACGCACTCATCGGATATCCGCCCGTTCCACCCTACTGGGCTCTTGGCTACCAACTAAGTCGCTATGGTTACACTGGTGTTGAAGACATACGGGCCACAGTTGAGAGGAACCGAAAGGCAAATATCCCTCAGGATGTTCAGTGGTTAGACATTGACTATATGGATCGCGCCCGCGATTGGACCATCTCGCAGAAGGAGGAGTTTAAGGGATTGGCAGAGTTCGTGGATAAGGAGCTACGTGAAAAGCGCGGCTTGCGGATAGTGATTATTGTGGATCCAGGGATCGCTATAAAATCGGAGGACAAGTACCTGCCTTATCAAACCGGATTAGAGGCTGGTGTCTTTATTAATGACAGCCGAACCGGATCACCCTTTATTGGTTTAGTGTGGCCGGGTGAAACTGCCTTCCCCGACTTCACCAAGAACGCAACCGCAGAATGGTGGTATCAGTGTGCAAAAGACTTCCTCCATACACTTTCGTACGATGGTCTTTGGATTGACATGAACGAGCCAGCAAATTTTTACGACGGTTCAAGCCAGGGCTGTGACCGTTCTAACCGCCTCGACTATCCCCCCTACAGTCCACAAGTGGTGGGAGGCAGTCTCTTTTCACGAACAGTTTGTCCTTCGGCTCTTCATTCCAACGGCATCCCACATTATAACTTGCACAACATGTATGCGCTGTGCGAGGCCAAAGCCACGCGGATGGCCCTTCAACGCATCTTCCCTGGAAAGCGACCCTTCGTACTCACTCGTGCCTCGTTTGCCGGTTCTGGAAGGTACACTGCGCACTGGTCAGGCGACATACGGTCCACCTGGAGCTCCATGGCAGAGACGATTCCACAGATGATCAACTTTAACCTCTTCGGTATCCCCATGTTCGGAGCGGACATCTGCGGTTTCGTGGATGAGGTGACAGAGGAGCTGTGTGTTCGATGGAGTCAACTGGGAGCCTTTTACCCCTTTTCGCGGAACCACAACGCCATCGGAATGCGAGCCCAGGACCCCGCGAGTTGGTCAGAGCCCGCCCAGGAAGCCATCGCGAAGGCTCTAGAGATGCGCTATCAACTTTTGCCCTACATGTACACCCTGCTTCACCGTGCTAGAAGCCACGGCAGGTTGGTGGTGAAAGCCCTTGCCTTCGATTACCCCACTGACCTAGCAACGCACCACAACGCTAGACAGTTCCTCCTAGGTTCCTGTCTCAATGTTGCGCCTGTCCTAGCCGAAGGAATGGACTTCACACCCCTCTACCTTCCAGAGGGCGAATGGGTTGAATTCTCCAACCTGAAACGCTACATCTCCAATGGGAAGTTCTATCCTGTTCCCGCACCTCTTGATAAGATACCAGTATTTTACAAAGCTGGTTGCATCCTTCCTATGCACCCTCCAGGTGCGCTGAGCACGAATCAATCCCGGGCAATGGGTGTTGGTGTCACAGCTGTTTTACTCAACGGGAGTGCATGTGGGGAGCTCGTGTGGGATGATGGAGAGACGGAGGACGGTGGGGAGCTGCACGTGTCTTTCAGTGTCTCACAGCAGAGACTGACATCAACAGCGAGTGGGGTCAAGGGTGCACGAGGCAAGTTCACGGAGACAGTCCCGCTAGCTTTCATTCGGCTGATTGGTGTGGGTCGCAAGCCATCCAATGTCAGCCTCAACGGAACAGAAGTGGAATTTGAGTTCGACGTCGGCAGACAGTACCTCAGCGTCACAAAGTTCAAGTCCACCGTCGACTTGCAGCGCACCTGGCAGCTCACATGGAGCTGACTACCACGCATGACCCACAAAACACGGATTTCTCGCAACGAATCAGACCAGAGCGATTTCCTCCTTACTTCAAGGCAACAATATATAACCAGTGATTTGAATTCAATTAATTGTAAATAAACGCTACTTTGTCTGAAGCGTAATACCCGTCTCTTCTAATATCATGGGGTGCCCAAACCCATACTAGCTACAATTTACAGCGAGGTTATCTAGCCAAAACCTACGGACGCTTTCACGTCGGCCCCTGAAATAAGCCGTGGAGCAAGAGCGAAGGCTATTAATGCACTGGAAAACACCACCCCAAATGCACCCGTGAATCATGAAACAGGTCCCCCGACCAAAATCAAAGGAGCTGTAAAGGCCTCGGAGAGTACCAATACTTAACACACTTTGCATGCTAGTCCACGGCTTGGTTTGCAGTAATACGAAAACCCAAACTTTGATTTGTGAGGCCTACACCAAGTAATCAGCCGCCTTTTTAGAGTAGAGTATAAACAAGATAGCATAAGAAACCAGAAAGCAAATAGTAAACATCAAACCATCAAGATGGAACAATTTATTGAAATGCAAGACAACAATTAAAATTGCCTTAACCCTTAAGTGAGCTCAGACCGGCGCGCATGATCTCGTCAACAAGCAGGAGGTTAGACGCGATAACAGCACTAAAAGTGAAGGGGATAAGTACCTTAGCATTTGAAGCATACACCATAAACTTGAATGCAAAAAAAAAACTAGAAGCTTACGCGGAGCCAATCATTTGCTTTTTGACGCAGTAGTTGTCGAGGATACCTGACGCAGCGGGCTCCATAACTTCACCTGTGGCCAGGTCGATGCCGACCAATTGCTTTGTGTTGCCCTTGCGTTTTTCCACAAGAGCCGCTTCTTCGAGCAGTTTCACGATCGTGTCCTGCGAATCATGGCCGGAGTTCGTGGCAAGAACCTTGGGTATAACTAGCAACGCATCAGCAAAGGCCCGAACACCAAGACGCGGTCGACCCTTAACAGTTTCTTCGAACTTCTTTAGTGCTCGGTGGGCAACAAGTTCGAAAGCTCCAGCTCCAGGAACAACACAGCCTGAAACAACAGGTCAAATAGCACGGTCATACGGAACTTGAGTGGCACGAAAATGATGTATTTAGTTCATACCGTCTTCCAGAGTGTTCTTCACGGAGCGCAGACCGTCCTTGACGGCATCCTTGATCTGAGTGATGGTGTATTTATTGGGTCCCTTGATGAGAATAGTTACCGAGAGCGGGTTACGGCATTCCTCGACAAATGTGAATTTATCTTCGCCGAGAATATACTCATAAACGAGACCTGCGTGACCCAAACAGTCAGGGGTGATATCAGTTAAGGAGTTGAGCGCGTAGCCACCGCAAGCCAAAGCCAAACGCTCCATGTTACGTCTTTTGGCGCGACGAAGAGCCAAGATACCTTCACGGGCAAGAGCATCAAGGGACATTGGGTCAATGCCTTTTTGGTTCACCACAACAAACCCGGGTTTAGAGTCACCCTGGCCGGCGGCTTCGTCGCACATTTTGCGTTTGAGGTCAATAATAGCCTGGACACGTTTATCGATAAATTCACGTTCAGCCTTAACAAGCTTGTCCCTTTCTTCTGCAGTCTTATAAAAGAATCCAGAATTGATTTCGCTAAACTAATGAGGTGTACCAAAGAACTTACGTCTTTTCATATTCCAATGAGACATTACATGTGAGGATATACGCATTTTTAACGCGCTTCGGCATGTCAGGGTGCCGCCCACCGTGATCCATCACCAGACCTCTAACAAGCGTGGTATCCATATCGGTTTTGTGACGCATTTCCATTATTTCGATACGGTGAAGATCCAAGTCCTCATTTGGTCTCTTTATACATAGAACAGCGTCCACAACGGGTTCCACTAAGTGATTTGCCAAGTCAGCGTGGAGCTTGGTACGTAGAGAGGTTCCAGCGACAGCAAGGAGTGTGTCTCGTTCAGGCATCTCAGGTGAAATCTCAATTTTGCATTCGTCTAACACTTCGAGACACTTCTCCCTAGCAAGATCAAAACCCTCAGTGACGAGCCTGGGATGAAGGCCTTCACTGATAAGAAGCTCAGCTTGTCTCAAAAGTTCTGCTATAAGAAGAACAACGGATGTAGTGCCATCCCCCGTGACATCGTCCTGGGCGGTGGCGACGCGAGCAATTAAGCTAGCAGTAGGGTGTTGAATTTGCTATAATATTAAACTAACAAAATCAAAGAAATAGGATTACCATCTCATGGAGGAGAACATTTCCATCCTTCGTGATTTTAATATCACCAGCGCCGGAAACGAGCCTTAAAATCCATTAAAGAAAAGACGTCATACATTTTCATAGTGCCTTTCGGGCCTAGATTTGTTCTCAGCACTTCAAAGAGACCACGGGCAGCCGTAGCATTGATACGAAAAGCATTCAACCCCTTTACGAACTCTGCCTTAGGATTTAACATTGCAATCGACGCCATTTTCGGACAAAATTGTTAAACACTTATAGTTGACAAGGAAACCTCCAGAAGCACAAGCTGCACACAAGAAACTGGCCTCTAATTGGTTAACCAAATACAAACAATCTGCTTATTGGCTCTACTCGTCGAAAGTGCGTGATGACAGACAGAAGCACGCTTTTAGCTCTGCCTACAATTTTGTTTAAATGATAAAGTCTATAATAATTTTCATTTGCATTTGTGCACATATTTTGTGACGCTAAAATTAGTATGCCTCTGTAATAAAAATCACTTAGTTTCCCAAAATAACAAAGTCGGCATAATCGTATAATTGCCTGAATCAGTTTGTGATGTGTTGATTAATTAGCGACCGGTTTGTTTAAGGATAATAAAGGCTATGCGCAAAATTTATTCGAATGCATTCGAAAAATAAGGAGTTAAAGTCGTATTTAACTAAAAGGATATTTTTTTGCACTTTCTACATGTATTGTAGTTATCGCATGGCGGTCTCGTAACGCATTCTTACATGTGACGTTATTTTCGCGTAGGTATTTGTTCATTATTAGATTTTAAATCACTGGTATTTTTCCTTAGGGCACAACGATGATAAATTTTGATCGAGTGGCAAAGTTGGAGATCTAATAACGATCGGACTTCAGGTGAAAGCTTAAGTAAAAACTTTTTACTTGGTTCGTTTAGAACATACATTGATTTAAGAATATGAATTATTAGGAGCAAACTGTGGTGAAATCCAATTACCTTACAAACAATTTAAAAAAAATATAAAGTTCATTTGATAAACTTGTGCTTTTTCTTATCTTCTCTTAAACAAAGTATCGAAAGCATGTTACTACTATCACGCCTTTTGTTGATTTTTGTTGGGGAGGAAAAATCATTTTGCTCAGTTAAAAACTTCTAAAACAGTTTTTGAATGAATCCTACACTTTTTTCATGTCAAGACTTTGTTATTTTTAACACCTTCAACTGCTAAGATTTATCCTAGCGCTTCCACTGCTGGATATTATTAATCAAAATTGAGCTAACCCTTTTAAGTTACATGGGAATTCAAGGTTCTTAGGCTAATTAGGCATTGTGATAAGGTTTTGACATTCTAACAAAAGCCTGGCGTTATGACTAATAAGAAATTTTCACAATAAAATGGCTCATATTTTTGTTAGCAATTTGATGCTTTTTGAAAGTGTCGCTGCATTGGGGACACGAAACATGTCGGACTTTAGCTGGAAGAAACTCTGTTTTAAATCACGTAAACAACCTTAACAAGGTTTGATGCTCTTTTACTTGGCTGTGTTTTACTTTACAAGTGTCTCCCGAATCAAGAGTAACTTCACTAAAGCAATATTCCTAGTTGACCCTGCTTGATCTAAGCGATGGTACAGCGTTACAACTAAACTGTATGACGTTTTTAAGGGTCCATTTTGTTAACTGACAAGATGCAATTTGGCTTGTTTTCGTCTGCTCAAAATCTAGCTGTGCTTCCAGGCACTTGAAGGTTGATGACTCAGTCTCAATGTGCAATCTCATTATTTTTCTAATTAACCCTTTGAAGGACCATAGATTTCAGAATGAAAAATGGTCCTTATAAAACATTTTATAGTGATGTTGATCATTGGAATATGAGCCAAAGCATGACTCGTGTGATCCAATGCTGTCCAAATGATACTTTTGATAAAGAAGAAGAGGATCGACGCCCACTGACCAGTCCTCAGGTTATTGTACAGGTTATTTATTTGCTTCTCCAAAAACAATTACAATCGTATGAAGGCAACATGAACTGCTGCAAACTAACGCCTGGGACCGCATATAAGTGTTTTAACTCCGAGCAACCCATGGTGACTCACAAACCTGTTAAAGCATCAGAGTGAATGAGATACGCAGATAACAGCGATATGAGTGGATTAATTTTTGCGAGCTAAATTAACACATAAGCGTAGGTTTAACTGTAACACTCCCCTTTGGTAGCGATTCACATAATCACTCTCAAACATTTTACTTGTCTATCAACTTAATCCTCTTTGCTTCTACGACGCAATTAACCATGTATTCTCCGTGATCCTTAATACATACCTCACACGTTTTTGACCACATATCTGTGTTTACACCTCCTGATCCTCAGTGACTCAGTGGTTATACTACTAAACTTAAGTTAAGAGGCAATATGACAAATGAAAACCAGTAAACGACCATTAATTTTAATTGTAGCGAAAACGAAAAATAGGGGTCGTTGTTTAGTTGCAAATGATGGCTTCAACTACAACTGATTTCCACACTGTGCCCAACTGATACCCGTTTAAGAGAACCTGAGGTTCCTCTACCAAAATAAACCTTGGTTCTCCAGGCCCTCGGTACTAGAAGTTTTATCCAGTTGTCCTTAGGAAAGCAGCTACATCGTAATCACCCCTCACCTAACCGGACAAAGCAACGTCTAGTTCTCTGAAGACATCAGCTTCATGAACACATTTGGATCAACGACGGCTAAACCAAGTCAGAAATCTTGGCTAGATAGTCCTTGTTCGTAGCTTTTGGCCGAACCTACCGTTTTCTCGGACATACAAATGGCTACAACTCATAATCCTGTTCGTATCTCCAATAGGTGATGACAATCAGCGATATCAACCCACTCTTCTTGAGACGGATATTTCTTACATAATACCACTGCCATTGATCGCTCGACTTATGTGTTTGCTGCGTTATTTTGGTCAAAATAACAATGACTTGGCTCACTTCTCCTTTTCCTCTTTCTTTCATCTTTTTTCGCAGAAATCTAAAAGTGCTGCTGAAACGAATACGAGCAATTTCATTGGCCCAATAAGCAATGCAAGAACCAATCGAAAGCACACTGGAATTTCATGGGGATACACAATCAAGTGGTCACTAATGTTGAGATATGGAAGTTAAGGCAGTAATTGCTTAGACATTAGCATCAAAGCAAATTGCAACCCCGCACATCGCTCACCAAGCCGCCGTCCTGGTAACCTCTTTCTTTTGTTTTACGATTGTGTATCTGCACGATTGCCACTGTTCGTCTCCGACTCGAGCTGTTCCCCACCTCTATATCCTGAAACCTGTCATACGAAAATAGCCTTTTATTGCCCCGAATCTCTCTCTCGCACGGTTAGTTCGTTGTGTTGAGGCTGAAATCCACTAGGCTGCTGTTTGTGCTCATGTCCCATTCGTCCCATTTCCAAGCGCCCCATGCACGTTACGTTATGAAAATGATTTTAAAAACGCTGTCAAAAACATGTATCATTGAATCCAATCTCTAACTATGGCAAAGAAACAATAAGAAGCAGGACATTTGTGAAAGCCAGTGTAAATTGCGATACTGACGCCTGCCTCCCTTTAGTTGTTACAGAAACACCGACGTTAAGCGCTGTATGTCCGCTCCAAGAATCATCGATTATTAGGACGCCCTGGTCACAGCAACTCCAGAATGTAACGTTCAGTTTAGAAAATCACATATGGTGGCACAAAATCAAATTACAATGGCCGGGTGAAATGTCGAAGTAATTAGTGGTGCTGGAATTTCGGTATGCTCGTTAAAAGACGATGAACTTGGCCCATACACGTTTGCAGATAAGTCCTCTCACAAAAACGCCAGGCCCCATCAAAGCAAAATTAGCCGCGGAAATAGCGACGAATATCAGCAATTGGAAAAGATGAAGTGAGAACAACGCCGCACAGACAACGTGGAGCCGAAATCGGTGTTGTATGCGTCCCACTTCGTTCCTATGGACCGCGACCCCACAAGCAATTGTCAAATTATGAATCTGAACGTTTGGCGATCATATCGAGTAGGTGGCTTGAAAAGAAACCAGAGTCAGTAGGTTCCAATCACATAAATTGGACCTGGACGATGGACTCAAGCTAGTGTTTAGGAAACCCCTAGATAAAGACAGTCTGGCTGTAAATAGACGTGTGCCTGGAAAATGAATTACCTTGACCAAATCTGCACCCATTTAGCTATTCGCTAAGTACAGATTCATAACTTCAACGGTCAAATTTTCCGATGAAAGAATTGCATTCCACCTGAAAATATTGACAAGGTAGAAAAACTACATACAGTAAAGTCGCAAAAGAAAGTACTGTAAAAGGTGAAAGTAGGAAGGCAGTGGCGTGACCAGGGAGGTGGACGAAAGACCAACGAGAGGTGAAATTACGATAGAAATTTTGTGTGTCGCCCCTTGGCAACCAGTCGCCCAGTGGCCTCGTCAAGCAGATTGACTTCACAGAAGGCCAGTGTTTTTCCCTGTTTAAGGACGTAGGACTCCACCGAAATCCACGAACCAACGGGTGCGGCCCTCATAAAGCTGAAATTAACCAAAAATCTCACATGCAGACGCAACCACTTTAAATATACAATCGCAACAGACAATCATTACTAACAACAAAACAAATTCGTGACGGTTGGAAAAAGACCCGTGACTTATCTTCAGGCGACATTTCACCCAGAAAGTTGCGAGCACGCAAGAAGAGAGAAGGTCAGTGCAAATAAGCCCAACAAACTAGCTAGAAATAGTACTAATACAAATATGGAATGGAGAAAATTGGTCTATAGAGATAATTAAGCGTTAGTAAAGGGAACCTACGAAGTGGCCAAATCCACACTGACACTACTGTTCACTCCACGACGCCTTAAGTCAATTGTGGAGATAAAGTCAACGAGGCTGGAAGTGTAGCCACCGTGAAGAGTGCTCAGAGAATTGGACTCCTTCTCTGTGACCTTGAAACGACACTTAAGACAATGGTCGTCCGCATAAACCACTTCGATTGGATCAAAAATAGCATTGAAATTCCCCTTTGCGACAAAGGACCGTATCAGCTTGTTGATATTGCTAACAGAGGACATCTACAAACAACAGGACCAAAATAGAAAAAAAAAAGATTAAATACCCGTCTTTTAGACAATGAGAAATGAGCTTAAGACAGTAGTCAAAGGGCATTGGGCAATAAAAATGTGCCAATATGGTCCACAAATATAAAAAAAACAGTTGAATGCCATCGGCAACTTGAGCCAAGCCCACAGGATAGAATTGTTGCGACAAGCATTACTTAGACTAGTCAAAATCCAAGAACTCGGACAATCCAGGCCAGTGGGGTTTTGCAGATTTGTGAGGCCAGCACTCAGTAACGAGAAAGGAAATCGAAACTAATATCCTCCATCGATTTTTGTGACATTCATAACCATTGAGTTAAGATAGCGAGGCATGTGAATTTTGTAACTTTGCCCAGTGAGCGAAATTACGAAACCCAAGGGCTAGACCCAGCATAAGGAAAATTGACGTGCCCATAGACCATCCTTAATGACGAAAATAACGACTGCTTGGGAAAACTAGAATTCGTTGACGCCGATTATCATAACATATGGTGCAAAATGTTACTTCCAAGATGACATTTTTCACGAAGTGATCGGCATCTTACCCCTTTACATGACAATTACAAATTACTTCAGCTACGCCCACAATCAAACCTTATTTTAGGTGCAAATGGTACTCAAATGGAATAGCCTTTATACACATCCTAAGAGTTCAACCCCAATAAAAATCAATCCTATGGCGATCACCGTGAATTTCTTTCAGATCCTTAGAGGTATTACAACATTATCCATTATACTGCAGCATTCACAATGGAGAATATGGGTACGGCCGCAAGTACGTAATACAAAAAAACTAGACGAAACACAAGAAACTGTGGATACGTTAACACTGATTAAATGAAACTGCCTCGAGAACTAACGTAGAGTCTGCAGTTATTTTTATTTTAGTGGTGAGACGGATAGTAAACTAAAACACGTTTTTACGATCAATTTTGAAACCATTCAGGCAGTTTTTAGGCATATCTATAGGTTTTTGTGTTATTAATAATCTTGTTTAAAAATTATCAAGATGTCAGGCAGACTTGCACCTAGTTAATTCGAAGAAGTGTTATTAGTTTTTGTGCAAACCAAATTCGAAGAATAAAAAATGTTGCAGAACCATGTTCAGTTTGAATAAACACAATAAAAAATAGACCGATTAGTTACAAGAAAATTGCCGAAGTTACTTCGAAACGTGCAATGAACATATCATTGGTTCTAATTCGCCCTGCGAAATCTTATAGTAACAAGGTAACAAGACCATTATAAATACTGTTAATCATAACGCGTACTAAAGCAAAAAACTGCTCTTGATGAAGTGTGGTTAACAGCGAGTTGCATATCTTTAAAAATCGACAACTCAGGAAGCTTCAACAATAAATTATGGAACAATTTTTATTCTCTCCTATAAAGTGACATTTAAATATATACGGAAATAAAGGATCAATTAAAGGTAAGATAAGCTAAACTAAAAGTCAGGAATGCCTGTAAATCCTATCTGATACACAGTGGAATATCTTAAAAAGGGAAAGTTCAAATTAAGTGCTCCTTTTTTGCAAAGAAATACGAAAGCGAAGAGTTTGCTTGGAAGAAGTGTTGAAATATGCAGAAAGGAACTAAAATATTAATTAAAACTACGAATTTAAGCATTATAGTCAGGCTTGAAATTATCTTGTACCTGAAGGTCGAAATTAAATAAGCGACAAGACCGCAAAGCTATGACCGGCATGGACGCCTAAAAAATGTGGAATCGGAGTCCAGTGTCACTAAAAGAAAAGGTGTCTACCAAATCAGCTTGCAAGATCGTGGTTTTTTTAATGATAATCAATGCTTGTTTACTTCAGCAGCTAAAAATACCACAGAGAACGAAGGCCCTCAATTAAGGTGTACAGAGATATCAGATAATCTAACTTTAAAGAAGTTTAATTATGTTTATTAATGCCTGGCAAAAATATGGCAGACTAATTGGGATCCGTATAAAATCGTCGTGCTTAACGCAAAAATTGAATTTTTTTGCATAATTGTGATGCAGAGAAAAGTCCTATGATTAGTATACATTTAGAATTTTATCATGAGCAAGTGGGCTTTAGTTAAAAAAAGTTTAGGATATGGCCGTTATTATTTCCCGTCTACAGACACGATAATAACACTTTTACAAACATTTTTGTCATCAAATTTTGCTTTAAATTTAGCTTCATCGTTTTCAATAATTCCGGCAATTGCTTATGTTTACAAATGTGCTTGACTTTCATAGCGAACTTAACCGTAGATGAGCTATTGTAATGATGGTGCCAATGTAAATTAAAATTACCTATAATTTAAAAGGAATGACGAAAATAATTTGATCACTTATGCTTGCGGTCTGAATTTGAAGTATCAAATTTTTAAATGCATTATCACTAATCAGGTTTCAATGTCAGCAAACAATTTTTTGTTGGCAACTTGCGTTTGTAGAATCTCTAAAAAACTTCACCTCGACGCCTAAATATAGCCAACTAAAACGAACCTAATCAAATGCAGCTAATGACAGCATCATGACAATGGTGAGAAATACTTGGGCACTACGATAGAACCGCTTTACGTGCCTGTCCATTAAAGTTCGTTTGCTTGTTTGGCCTTCCATTATGTAAGAACTACTCCTGTGACCAGACGACTAGAAGGGTTTTATTGCTTTAAATAAACCAGTGCAGTTCACAGAATACCAAGGCTTTGGTCGGTTCATGATTTAATAAGGAATCGACTTGGCCTGACTCGAGCTGTATTCAAAAAAGTAGCCAGACATTTCAGGAAAGAAAGAAATAAAAGAATTTTGGAAATATTGCGGGCATATATTTCAGCTTCTAAAATTTCCGGGGAAAAATTTGACGATATATGACGTGTTGTATTAACCATTGCATCATGTATAGCAACACAATTTTTTGTCTGACTAGTTACACACGTCAACTTCGAGTGAACTAAAATACAGAATTTGACTACAATTAAAATTGACAGTAGTTTGCTTTAAAAACATGCAAGTACAATATGAAAAATATTTCAAACGGCCAAATTTAAAGAACTAAATATAATAAATCGTAACCTGCGCACAAGTAAGAATTTTATACTAGTCGTAAAGTCAATTCGGTTTTGACACTTTTTAGCCGACAAATATTCAATGGTTTTTTTTGGTTGTGGATACAAACCCTGAGATCAGAGTTGTTTTTTTTCTGCCGAAAGCAGCTAATTTAAATTGCGTTACAGAACAATGTTTTTTTGATTATGTTTTTTGCACTGAAGCAAAGTAATAAATTGTCTTATTTTTTAATATTGATTTCGTTTTCTTGAACAAGTAACTTCGATTAAATAATTGTCCAAAACGCGCTTAGCACATATTTTTTTTGAAATTTACGTTGCTGTGTGATTTAAATTGTAAAATTAATTGTCATTTTAGCATTTATGTTTAAAACCAATGAATGTGTTTTAATCTTCCAATTGTAATTTTATGACCTCACCGCGCTTTAGTCAAGCGAAAAGTCCTGGCTTGTTACTGATCTTGGATCCGTAATTAATATGCTGTTTTGATATCTGAACAATGAACATTCCTGGTGGAAATCCATGGGGACCAAAGCCGAATGGCAACCCGTTTCTTTCGGGCACCCGTCCGGTGATAGCGGACTTAGCGATAGCTGCTTTGAAGGAGCGGGAACAGAAAAGACGCAGGAGAATTTGCCCACAGTTCAACCCAAACCGCTCACTGTTTCTTTTGTCGAAAAGAAATCCAATTCGTCGATACTGTCTGATGATAGTGGATGCTAAGTATCCTTTCGATTTTTGCCTTTGTTTTGCTTTTTTATTTGACTTTATCGTCCTTTTCTGTTGGCTTTACATATACCAATGAATCTAGTTTATGTTGCTATTTGGTTTTCGTGACCCGTTAAGTAGCTTTTTGGTAGCAGAATGAAGAAACCCACTGATATTTCTGTATTTTTAGTTAATCTATTCGTTTTACATAGTGTTGGAGGAGACATCTTCTATGTTTGTCACAAAACTACCTTAGTTTGTGTTACCTGAACGTCAAAATTTAAATAACGTTTAAAGTCGCAAACGAATAACTGTATGGATTCGGTTCTTTTTTATTAGCGAACTCGAAATCTATTGTCTATTAGTAGATTTTTAATTTCTAAGTTTCATTTGACGGTGTAAATGTGAAATGAACTTTACACAACACATATGTGCTTGGTTAATTAAACTTTACTCCCGTTTACCCTAAATTATATTTGTACTACAAGCCTCGTTTATTTATTTCGAATTTTGTAGAACCAGTGTTATCAATGCTGACAACTTTTTGGAGCAATATGATTTTAGTAAAATTAATTCGCCATCAAGCTGCATATCACCAGTCGTAAGCAAAAAAATCATCTTGCTTTGGAGCATTTGTGATTATAGATTTGTGATCAGACCACGAACTTGTGCCCTTGTTTCTTATGAACACTTGTATTGTGATTAAAATCTGGGAAACCAAACTGGACTTCGTGTAATAAATTTTAAGCTAAAACAATTTTCACAAATCTTCGGTTTTCAAAAACTAATATCATTGGACAAATAAAGTTAATTTGGTCAGTGGTTAGGTATTCATGTGCGTTTTAATTAGAACACTGTTAAACACGTATTTAGGTGTACGCCTGAATTCCTAAGAGTTGGTGTCTGTGATTTTTGATATTGATTTTGAAAATGTGGGATGTTGATCAATTAAGCATTCCGTCAATCCCACATGCTTGTTAAAGTGTGTGCATTTTGGTCGATCTGATTTGTAAAACTCATCAAATTCACATATAGTGATTTTTCCATCCCTAAGACCAACAAAAAGCCGTCTCGTGTGTTAATTTGCACATATATAACTATTTCCTCGATCGAAATCTTTGTCATTATTTTACCTTTTAATGAGATATTCTTACAGTTCCTAGAATTTTCAGTTAATAACTCCCACGTGTCGCACTCTTGGCTATAAGTTTAAAAGTTTGTTTAAAACATATATTTTTTACTTAATTTGTCTGTTAAATTGATCGTTTCCCTAAGCGACCCACTCTAATGCCGATTTCTTTTTTTTTAAAAACTCTAGAAAATTCATCTTTAAATTAAATCTAATTACACTCCATATTTAATTTAAATGGACTGTGATCACATGGGACTTTGGCAACAGATAACTGACAGGTCGGTCGTCCGCATGGACATTGTCGATCAGGTTGTCGTCCACAGACGCCAGCACCCACGCACGGGCCAATCGATATCCTAGAATCTTGGGCGCGCACCTCCGCACTTGCGTGCACGCCACTTGGGCCAGGTTGCGCGCAAGCGACACGTACGCATAATTTACGCATGTGAAAATCTGTGACAATTTGGGTGAACCGCGTCCATTCTCTCCAAATTCTTCCCAACCTTATAAAGGTGGATGTCCAGTAGAGTGGCAAATTGGTTTTAGGCACACCGCTGGGTTACAACTACCTGGTGTGCCGAAATTGCAAACCGCCCAAACCAGTTGAGAAACCGATCAAATCAGATCAAAATAATCATTTTGCAAAGAATGTTTTTTCCTGCACTGCCTTTCAAATTAGAAAAAAAATTCCCAACAAATTGGGGACAGGGAACAATAATTAGAGTGTTTCTAAACCAAGTGGTTTTGTTGTCCGTCAAATGTATTTTTCTTTCATTTTTAATGCTTTTGGTTCTCGTGTTTTGCACGTACACAGTTTGATATTATGTCGGCACAGTAAGTTGCCCTTAAATGCAATTAACCTCATCCCACCAGCTAAAACACCTCTAAGAGTTTGCAAAACAGCCCTGATTGTGATTAAACACCCAAAAAGCAGTTGCTGTTCAGCCATCGCTAACATCATTTTTTCCCAAGCAAGGAATCAATTCTAAAAAAGACTTTAAGGTTGTTACAGAGAATGCAGGAGCACTTTCACAAGTTGCGTCTAAGGACTTTATCCATCTACTGACAACTGCTGCGATGGCGTATAAGTGGATTATTCTGGTTTCCATGAGGTCTTAGTTCAAAAGGCCACGAACTCTTCAATCTGTGTTCTTACCTTAACTCCACACGTAGACCATTTGAATTCTTTATCCTCGCCACCATTCTCGCCAATTGCATCGCCCTGGCAATCAATCACCCTTATCCCATGGGTGACTACAACGCTACGAACGTAGCTCTGGTAAGTTAAATCTCCACCAGCTTGTAAAGTTGGTCCCCCGAGGTGGGATTGATGACCACCTGTGTGGTTTTAAATCCTAGTTATTTATGAAAGACGTATTGTGTAGGATGCTTGTAGGGCAGTTTGTGTCCGCGTCTATTCTAAGACAGGTGACTGAGTGTCAGACACGTGCTTCTGGAAGTTGGCCGATACCGAATCTCGACAATTTCATTGTCGCATTGTAGGAGAAGACCGAATTAGCCTTTCTCATCATCTTCACAATCGAAGCTGTGCTCAAAATCATCGCCTACGGCTTTGTTCTCCATCCAGATGCTTACTTGCGGAATTTCTGGAATGTCCTCGACTTCTCCATTGTCGTAATCGGGTTAGTAAAATTCCTTTCCAACGAAAAAGAGCCTTCTAATATTGCAACCGACGAACTTGTGTACAATTGACTGGTCCCTCGAGCACCATCTCAATCCACAAACTTCCTGTAATCCACGTACAAGGAATTCCCAGGACCTGCCACAGTTCGCAAATTGCCACCTAGCGAAATCAAACACTGTCGTGATTAGTTGCACTGGTGTAACTGATGGGTGTGCGGTTGTTGAAACGCTCACATCCACGTTAAATGTCATCGCTAACCCACTTCGTAGGAAACAGCTAACGTTATTTCTCTTCCCCCAACTCTAGTTTGGGTTCAAAGTGCCTGGAAAACACCAAACTGGACGTGAAGTCGTTGCGGGCGTTCAGAGTTTTGCGACCACTTCGTTTAGTCTCTGGTCTTCCCAGTGAGTCCCCTCATAATCTTCACTTGTATTTTAATCAGTAGTATCGGTATTTCTCCAAATCTCCACCACAGAATGAAGGTTTGTTGTAGTTTGCGAATGCGGTGACTCGACCAACTCAACGAGATTTTGCTCTTGCGATGTTGGTCGTAGAAATTGCAATGAGAAACAATGAGTTTCCTAAAGCGAACTTGGAACTTACCCTGTTGCTTCGTAGGCTTACAAGTCGTGCTCAATTCAATCGTCACCGCAATGGTGCCGCTGTTCCACATCTTCCTCCTCGTGATCTTCCTCATCACCGTCTACGCCATCATCGGTCTGGAGTTGTTTCAGAGCAAGCTCCACGCCACGTGCTACCTCGTCCAGGACAACACCACGTGTAAGTCACCCACATCGCGCCATCGTTGTCATGCTACTGGTGGCAGGCGGCATTCTTTTCTTGCTACGCCTATGACTGAAACCTCAGTTGGACAGGCTGGAAATCAGCATCGCGGTAATTACCGCCGTCGTCAAATGGGTTTTCGTCTCAATCCTTTTACCTCACGCTCGTGGAGCGAGTTGCTGCGAGTGGGTTTCGTCCTTGTGCTAAGAACGCCCGAAGCGTATTTGATGGTAACTCTGTAACCACCCCAACCCATCTTTCCCTTTACGACGGCTCACGGCATGACTCCCTGACTATATCAGTCATAATAACGTGCGATGGTGGAAGAAATTCTTTGTGTACAACCGTTAATCACGAAGATTTATCTCCAGTAGTGTTCCTGGCAGCTTTACGGCTTTCAAGGAACACACAGGCTGCGAACATTTGAATTACACTAAGAACGTTTGAGTAGTTTTAAGTGATTTTACGGTCAATCGCGAACCAATGCCGGTCTATCCATGCTGTCACATTTGAAGTCGCATTATTTATTCCAATTCCACACGAACCTGTGTGAATACAAGCTCCGGCAAGCGGATCAATTTTTCGCGGTTTCAGAGCCCGTGAAGTGAATGATTGGTCGCGTAACAGAAAGCGAGGCTCAATTCTCCCCCTAACAATGACTTCATAATGCAGTAATAGTCCACGGATTACCTCGGTAGAGCACTGTTGCCAATGTACAAAATTTCACATATTTTCACTACTTGGGTACACATCGAAAGGAAGTTGGAGATTTCCTAAGCTTTGACAGAACGCAACAAACTGAATCGACTTTCCACAGATATTTCTGCTTCAGTAAAAAACGAAACTAAAAGCATAGAAGCGAAGAAAAAGACTAAATCGCTGCATCCAATGAAATTCAAAAAAGGCGTCAGTTGGGGGGATTCTAGGGGAAGCATTTAGTTCAATCTTATTCTTTCTTGCGAAGCAGTAATTGCGAAGGAGTACTGTGATTAAATCACTAATCTCACGACTGTAATTTGAACAAAGCACGTAGATTTGTTTAGTTGAAAAAGGCTTCATTTTCACCATGACAACGCCAGACCACATTTCGTTTGAAGAACCCTGTACAAATTTAGGGAGTTAAAGCGGGAAATGCTCCAGCAGCAACCGACGTAATTCCATAGCCGGGTTTTCATCTGGTCAGTGGATGCTGCTAGTCGTGGATGCGGTCAGACATGTTGCAATTTCACAGCAAATAGCAGCAGCTTAAACACGAACCGCCAGACTTACCGGAATTGACAAACAGCGGGGACAATCCTGAACTTTAAACCGTTTATACAGGTTTCCTGCTAGTGGCGGATTTGAATAGTGTTCCAACCAAAGCAGTTTCGTAAAACAAAGGGTTGTGCGGAAATAACAAGATGAATGTTGCATGGTAGGGGAACAAAGTGCTACTATTTCGGTCTTAAATGCCACAGACAAACACGCCATCATCACCTTGCACGGAAAAAGAGGCTCTTTTGTTTTCTGGCGCTACCGTGGCACTTCTTCCACCATAAGTTAGATCAACAAGTTCCTGTCAATTGTAATTCCCGGTTCTTTAACATGTAGTCATTTGAAACACAGGAAGAGTCAATTTGTGAACAAGTAGCTTCCGTGGTAAATGGACTAACTGCGATACGGCGGTAACCTACCAACATTTTTAGCCCATTGTTCGTTGATGTCCATGGAATTATTGTACGCCTGTGGTATGTTCGCGAGGGTATTCATGGAGTAAATGTGTGAACAGACCGTCTCAGATAAGGTTCTACTGATCGGATTGGTTGGCTGGATCATGACAAGCCGTTCAACGTCTTTCTCCACTTCATCATTCAGCCACCGTTTCTACATTGAAGCCAGCGCGGTTGCAATCATTGATGTAAACCCACGAATCTGCTGGCGTTGTAATTTGCCGATGCTTTGAACCGTGGCAAACGTCTCTAAGTAGCGAAAAGCAGTCATCTGGTTGTAATTCATTGGCCTAGACAACTGTCACCCCGTGGTTCGGTGTCCAGTCTCCGACAAGCGTCTGTACTTGTCGTCCTAATCGAAGTCAGTTGGACAAGTTTGCCAAGTCACCACATCTACGGCTGCAACGCCACATCTGAATCCGACAAAACGAATGATGCCTAAAACCGGCTTTTTATCGGACTCAAGTACTCGAAATATTTGAAAGTTTTGCGGTATTTCGGGAAACACATGTCACTTAACGGCATGTAGCATTGGTTTATTAAATGCAGGTGGGTAATGTCATCGCGTTTTTGTCGAATTTCTGACAAAATTGTAATATTTTCACAAACATGTTCAAAATTTCCTGTACCGAGAGCTTCGGAGACACACAATGACCATTACCACACCGTTAGATTGCAATTTTTAAGCCAAAAGCGTTTATTAAGAGCACAATTCCCTGAACCCCATGCATTGAATGCCAGTGGTTTTTTTAACTTCACTCACCCATCTCACCAATCATACATCCAGCACTCAAATTCCATACCTGCCGCCTAGTGATTGACATAACTGACCAATCATGAGGCAGCAAAAGCTCGTTAATTATCTGCATTTGGATTAATTAACAGGATCTTCAAGAAAAAGTACGGTTTTATCTTGCAGCCAATCATATTTCGCCTACTTTATTCACCTATAGTTTTTTTCTTTTTTGGTTGCCTTTCTATAAAATCCGTAGGAATAGAGTAACTTCTGGAGAATTTACCGAATGTTGCACTAAAATTCCCTTCTTCTCACCAAAGAAAGGTACTTTTCAACAAAAAGTGTGTTTTCCTTGTCTTTAGATGGTCTGAGGAACGTAACCGAGCCCTGCAAAAATCTGACGATGACCAGCAACTGTTCCCTAACCCCTCCAAACTATGTCTGTGCGTTCTACAGGCGGGGATTTTTATAAATACATACAAACACGTAGATAGGCTGCATGATTAATGTAGACAAAACTGACCAATCAACTGTTATTACCCACACCTGCATGGCAATTTATTTAAATTCATACTCCATGGTTCACGCTGCATCTCCACAAGGAAATCTGCAAGTATACCAACGCGATTTTATGTTGCACGCGAGTAGCACCCCTCCTCCCCCCACCCCACCCACCACGGGAACCCGCCAAGTCATATTCTGGTGACTCATACTCGCAGACCGTTTTAGACATCATGATGGACAATCCAAGGCCCTGCTCGAACAGCTCGTATTCGATGGCTTTCAACTGCACCGAGATTGGACCGAACTACGTGTGTCGAGACCTGCCACCGGAGCTGGGAGAGCGGTACCCGGGTCCTGAAGATGGCCTGGTGAACTTCGACAATTTCCTCTACGCCATGCTGACGGTCTTCACTTGTGTTACCATGGAGGGTTGGACCACAGTGGGGTACTATGTAAGCCAATGCAAATGGTCATTAGTTGTTAGAGCGGTGTAGATGTGCAGAGGAGCGAAATGAGTGGTAGAGGCTGTCAACCAATAGGATTCGTTTGAACTAGGAGATGTGTGGAAGGTATGGAAGGGAGTGGGATTTAAATCCGGGAGCTCTACTTGTTGAATCTGATGCGGCTAAGGACATCGGAGATGACGTAGTCGCAGACGTTTGTGGGGTGAACTTTTACGATTCACTACATCAGTTAACTACGAGAGAAGAAATGCTTCTAGCGATCCGGATCGTAATTACATTTATTCAAGTCAATTGATTTGGGTTCATCGATTTGCTAGCTACACCTTAGTTGCCATCTTGTTTGTTATTTTTTCAGATTTGTGCTGCGGTGGGCCATTGGTGGCCGTGGATATACTTTGTCAGCCTCATTCTCCTCGGCTCCTTCTTCGTCATGAACCTCGTCCTTGGCGTCCTCAGTGGGTAAGCAATTTGTTTTTTCAAAACACACACTGATTCGGTTTCGATTCCTTACTAGCGCGAACTCTGCCCGGATTTTGAGTTGTGATTGGCTGCTGGCAACTGCCATTTATAGCGGCAGATTCTTCGCTCATCATGTCGTGGTCATTTAAATTACCCACCAAGTTGTTAATTTCAATTGTCATTCAAGAAGTATGCCCCTTCAATGTCCCCAGATTCACGTCTGATTAAACCAGACTTGCTACTTGATTTGATTAATAAGCTATTTGTATTATGACAGTCTGTAGACAAATGACACAAAATGTCTCAGGGTCAAACGGCCCTTATTGGACAATCTGGTGAGCTGTTTCTTTCCGCATTTTTTTTAGCGAATTCACCAAGGAAAAAGACAAGACCGATCGCAAGGAATTATTCAGGAAAGAAAGGCAACAAAAGCGTGAGCAACAGGACTACGAGAATTATAAGGAGTGGATTGAGATCGCAGGTACGTCTTTTCCCCTGAATTTACTTGATTAGTCTTCGAACAAAGCATAGCCCTCACGCCTCTTTTGACTGGCATTATCTCAACCTCCATCAATCGAGATAAAACCGGCGCATCTCCTGTTTCTAAAATTTACGCCACCAAATTTAACCTTGCGCATCCATCGGAGCCAATAATAATTCTTGCGGCGGATATTTTTAATGGTGTGCCGTGAACGACTACAAATAGCACGGGAGAGCTGCCTTAAAGATATTGTAGCATCGTTGCTCCGTTTTTGACCAGGCTGTGTCAATGAATCACGAAGTCACCTCAGAAATGGTGCCATCTTGCATAGGTCAGTTTGGGGCCAAGCCAGGTCAGGTATTGCAGTTTGTCGAGGGCCCCTGCATGTTGTCTTGAACCACTTCGGGGCCATTGCGTCAATCTAGGCCGATTACCCTGAAGAAGACCAGTGGGGACGAGGCACAACCGTTTATTAGACAGCTCAACGAAGTTGTGTTAACTGAAACAGTTGAGTGGACTAGTAAAAATACAGACATCTGATTGGTCACATCGATAGAGCGGGTGGTGGTGGGGGTGCATACAGAGGGGTGAATGAACAGGCGGTCCCACGTGACTGACGGGCACGCCGTGAAAAGGGGGATGTGTGTGTGTGAAGCTGCGACGACTGGGTTATTGGACGTGAATCAACACGATTCACTACACAGTAATGTACTTAAACACTGATTCAAGGTCAGTCTTGTAGCATCCGTGATTTTTCAAAAGAAACTCTGCTTCCCCATATATTACTCTAGCTCCCTTTCCAGCGACGCCCAACTACTGGCCAATCAAGCAACTGACCAACGACATTTGAGTAGGCACTGCACCAATCAAAAAATCATTTTTGGAATGGTTGAATGCAGCCAAAGCACGCCCTGTTTTCAAAATTTGAAAGTAACCAGCTTGTGGAAAGCAACTTTTAAGAAAGCAGAAACTTGAAATTACAGAATCACGGCTCTCATTGTGGGTTCAATGCTTTTATTTCTTACAAATTCAACGCAAGATGCTGCATTGGGGTTATATCAGGAATCTATGACATAGGCTAAATTGCTGCGTCCAATGAAATTGCTGTCACGTGTCAAGTAAGGGATTTAAGCGGAACAGCGGTCTATAAGCATCTTCCATCTGAAGTACTCGCCGTACTTAATGCTGAATTCCATCCAAAGCGTCCACATTTGGGAAATCGAAAAGGCATCTTCAGTTACCATGGCAACGCTAAACCACGTGCCGCTCAAGAGCTGTTTCAGGAACTTGTGGGGTTGAAATAGGAAATCAACCTCCAGATTAACAAGAGTTTTGTTTTCTGACTTGAATCGATGGAAGAAGGTCAAATCCTCATTGCGACTTTCTGTTGGGAGAAATTACACAGTTTTAATAAAACTGGGAATATGGAACTTGCAAGATTTTGCGGGGCAGTTATGGGAAACGAAGACGAGTAAATTAGTTATTTATAAATTCAAAATTTAATAAAATTGGGCAATAAATTGTTTTGGCATTAAGATTGTGCTATTTGATGGTGAGAAACCTACGACTCTCAGGAAAAAAGCCCCTTTATAATGGTGCGTTTTAATGTTCTTTTTGCGTGCCTAGAGGATCTCTCCGATACGGATGCCGAGGCGAAGAGCAACAAGGAATTGGAAGCCGGTAAGTTGACCCTCTACCAGGTGCTTCCTGATTGGGCAAAATAAAAAAAACACAAGTACATTGTTCGTTTTTATCAGCCAGCGTCAGTGGCAGATTTGGTAGTAGAAGCGACAGAAAGCACAATTGGTATCGCCAGATTTATCTTTAGTGTAAAACTGTCTCTCTCGATTGACCTCTTCCAGATGGGCCAATGGGAACAGTGCGCGGTCGATATGAATTTGGGGAGTGGTGTGCACGACGGGTCCAGGATTTGGAAATGCGCGTATAGCCGCCTTTCAAAACAGTTTTAAAGCAACCCAAGGCACTTAAGACCTCAGCTCAACTACATTTGCACGTACCATTGTTATTCTGCATAAGCAATCACCTAAGAAACCCATTTTCGTGACATTTAGCATTCCAATCTGCGATCTGCCATAGTATTCTAGTCCCATTCACACACCCATTGTTGTTTGGACACGACTTAAAGCAGCCACTTGTCAACCAACCAAAATTCAATCTTTAGATTGACCTTCCCTATCAACGTCCAACACGTTGTGATTTGAACAATTTATGAGCGTTTTATGATGTTTTTAATCGTCACCAGGCATGAACCAAATGCCTTGCTTCCCAAAGTGATTGGAGGGACATTTTGGCGTCATTTAAATTATTTTTGGAATTGTCATTGGCTCCGCCTACCTAGCCAATCTCTATCCCCAAAATTTTATTGGTCGTTGACAGGTTCCAAGCAGAGCGGTAGATTACCTAAATTATCTTACATTTTCTTAATCTTCTTGCGTATCACGAATGAATCATTACAATGCCCTTATTTTTCCACTGATCACCCACATAGCTAAACAGCGTTTGCATTGGTTTTTTGAATCTTCTCTGCAAACAAAAGATTATTTTTCCACCATAACGCCTCATTTCATCAGCGAATTGTTCACTTTCCACGAAAACGATTTATTCTGACTGTTACCCTGTCATGTAAACACATTTGTACCAGAAGTTTGTGTCCATGCAGAAGCACGCGTGTCCCACGCTGTTCTCCGGGAAAAAAGACATTTATCACCAGACACACCGAATCGGAAATTGTTTGGGCATTTTACCTCTTTATGCCGAATTGTTACTGAATTAGTGGACACCGGTCTGGCCTAAAATGTGTTTAATAATGGCGCGATTTTGCAGGTTTGATGGATGGCGAGATTGTGGATGAGCAGGAGGCGACGAACGAGCCAACTGCTCGGAATCAGTGCTGCGAGGGAATGAGGTGAGTGGCACCGCTCTTTTTCTATTT